AGTTGAACCTGAACTAGTTGAACCAGTTGAACCAACCACTGAAGCAGAACCAGTTGTGCCAACTGAACCAACCACTGAACGAGAACCAGTTGTTCCAACCGAACCAACCACTGAACCAGAACCGGTTGAACCTGAACCAATTGAACCAGAACCAGTTGCAGCACCTGAAGAGCCTACTGAAGATGGACCTGAAGAACCTGAACCAACTGAACCGGAACCAGTTATTCCAACCGAACCAACCACTGAACCAGAACCAGTTGTGCCAACTGAACTGAACCAGAACCAGTTGTTCCAACCGAACCAACCACTGAACCAGAACCAGTTGAACCTGAACCAACTGAACCAGAACCAGTTGTTCCACCTGAAGAACCTACTGAAGATGGACCTGAAGAACCTGCCGAACCAGTCGTACCTGAAGAGCCTACTGAAGATGGACCTGAAGAACCTGCCGAACCAGTTGTACCAGAAGAACCTACTGAAGATGGACCTGAAGAACCTGCCGAACCAGTCGTACCTGAAGAGCCTACTGAAGATGGACCTGAAGAACCTGCCGAACCAGTCGTACCTGAAGAGCCTACTGAAGATGGACCTGAAGAACCTGCCGAACCAGTCGTACCTGAAGAGCCTACTGAAGATGGACCTGAAGAACCTGCCGAACCAGTCGTACCTGAAGAGCCTACTGAAGATGGACCTGAAGAACCTGCCGAACCAGTTGTACCAGAAGAACCTACTGAAGATGGACCTGAAGAACCTGCCGAACCAGTCGCACCACCTCAACCAACCGCTGAAGACGGTCCTGAAGATTCCAGAACACCATCGATAGAAGAAGAAGGAGGAGAAATTCCAGGCCCTTCTTCAGCCGTGATTACTGCAACTCCACTGGCGATCTATGATGGCGGTGCTGGTTCTATTCACATTAGAAAAGAATTCTCCGGGTTCGTTGTTGCTGCTTTCTTAGCTTTGTTATAAGCTGATTTTGTGAATATTTATTACTATGCAAGATAAAAACCCCAAGGATTACTACATTAAAACAAAAAATTGTTAATTATTCTTTCGCTATATCTACATTTTTGAATGTACTTTTCCATATGACTTTAAATGGATTGTAATTTATGCCATTATTTCGTTTCGTTACTTTAATATATTATTGTATTTTTTTATGTTTATTGTTCTCTTTTATAATTGTTAACATCTGTAAAAGTTATTTTGATCGTCCTCTTTGACTTGTCAAGGTCAAGATCGGTTTGTTTCACACTCTACAGTAGATTTAACTATCCATACTTATTTTTTTGGCAACCAGTAAGATAGAAATCACATAAGATTATCAATTATGAAACTATCAGTGAGCAATACTTGTCCCACTTGCAATACTCTACATATTGAAATTTACACAAAGATTTAACGTTTTATACTCTAATTCTTTTTGTATTGAATTATATATATATATACAATAAAAACAATCATACCGTTGAGGATGCCACTTTCTATACACAAGGAAACAGCTATTTCTAATTAACCTTAAAAATAAATAACAAAATAAAATTTATACTCTCTGTTGAAATGAATACCGTAAAAAATAACTAAAAGAGCCATACTTGCTTTTCTTATAACATATCCCACTGGGAATAATTACAGAAAAGAAGTAAAATCTCTTCTAATATGCAAAAACACATAACAAAAAAACACCACACCCGTAACCAGTTTTAAAAACACCAAAATATAATATATCATCATCAAAAAATTCTTGGAAACGCATTTTGAATGGAGGGTTTTGAATAATCACATAATAATAATAAAAATAATAATAAAAAAAAAATCAATGCATCATTGGAAAGAACCTTACTATGTTGAATGTAAGAATCTTTCCTCATCTTTTTGGGAACATGTTGAGTGTCCCATTCGTCTATACTTTATCCCTGCGTAAAAAAGTGAATTAAAAACATTTTCTTTTAATAAAAATAACAATAAAAAAAATCAAGCAAGTTCTGAAACTTCCAATTCTTCAATCAATTTGAAGATGGTTGAATTCTCATCAATGAAATCGTTGTTGACAATATTGCACAAAACAAATTCATTACTGAATGTAGTCATCAATTCAGCAAAAGTGGCTGCTTTTTCGGAATCAGCACCAGCCAATGAACTTCCAATAACTTTAGCCCATTCCATGAATAATCGATAAACTTCATCTTTCCATGCTAAGAATGAAGTCTTTTCAACAATTGTTGGTTGTAAGATTTCTTCTCCTGGGAAGACACCCCATGTAACTGCATTAATATCATCATCTCTGCAATTAGTAGTCAAGTTCCCATCCTTGTCAACTGCATAATAGGAAATAAGAGAACATGAAGCATCACCCTGAGAAGAATTATATTGATCAATCTTGTATAATAACTTTGGAATTAAGTCTTTATGACAGAAGAATTCAAGATATTGTTTTTGATAAACATAACCATTCTTTGGACCCCAACCAAATACTTTTTCTGAAGATTTAATTGCATTTAAAGCTGGTTGAGAATTCATAGTGAAGAATCCACGTTCATTTAATCTAACCAAATCGTCAACAATAATCTTGGTATCATCCCCAACTGGACCATCAGACCAAGGTAAAGCCTTCAAATCTCCCTTTAAGTAACTAACAATGATGTTAGATAAATCTTTCAAATTTTGTGGGGTTCCCCATAATTCAAGAGCTCTCTTTGGAGATTGTCTTAATAATTCACTAGCACATAAATCAATGTCACCAAAAGCTGGAGATCTAGAATCACCCCATCTACCATTTGGAAATTCATCCCAAGTAGCAGTTCTTGTAACATAAGAATATTTTCTATTTTGCCAGAAAATTGGACGAATTGATTCTTTTGATCTTTCTGGATTTAAAGATTTTCTCCAAGGCAATTCACTTGCACCTGCAACATCATGAGATTTGACTGCTTCAATAAGATTCAATTTTTCTAAAATCATAACAGTAGCTCTTTCTAAATTCATAGTATAAAAATGTAAATGATTAACAAATCCAGATTCAATTAATTTAGTACACATATCACTTACTAATTCAGTACCTCTTTCTCTAACTAAATAATCATCGTCTTTAATTGGATCTAAAGCTTCTAAGAAATGTGGAGGAATAGCAATTTCTGACCATTTAGCTCTTCTAACAAATGCAGCATAAGTTGAAATTGGCATAATACCAGGAATAATTGGAATTTCAATACCAGCTTTACGTACTTTTGAACACCATTGAATGAAATTATCAACATCATAAAACATTTGAGTAATTATGAAATCAGCACCAGCATCACATTTATCTTTTAAATATTCTAAAGTTTTGGTAGCGCTTTGTTCTTCAGGATGTCCTTCAGGATAACCGGCAACACCAATATTAAAATGATCACCATATTTCTTACGAATATATTCAATTAAATCCTTTGCATATTTGAAATCTCCAGTAGATTCAGATCCATCCAAAGGTGGATCACCTCTTAATGCCAAAATATTTTGACAACCAGATTTAAACGCTTTATCTAAAGCTTCATCAATTAATTCGACCTTCATATTAGTACAGGTTAAATGCATACAAGTTTCTAAACCTAAAGCAGATTGAGCAGTGTAAACCATTTCATTAGTTAAACTAGAAGATCTTCCACCTGCGTTCCAAGTAATATCTATGAATACTGGATTTAAATCATACATTCTATCCATTCTATCATATAAATTTTGTACCCCTTGAGAAGTCTTTGGAACAAAGAATTCAAATGAAAACGTTGCTGGAGGAGCATGTGGCCCTGAATGAGCTTGTTCTAACTTCTTAGATATCTTCATTTTCTCCTTTATCTCTCTCTCTTATGTAGCTGTTGTTGGATTGAAAGGAAAAGAATGAAAGTGAAAATGAACAAAAAAAATTTCAAGAAAAAGTAAAAAATTATTTATTAGGACTGTTGTATAACTAAGTATGTATGTATTGTTCAAAGAGTTATGACAGAGGCCGATTCAGGTATTCTGTAATTTCTTTTTTGTGTAATTAACAATAAATTTTTTTTTTTTGGGTCCTTTTTTTCTGTTTCGTCGTAAAGATAACCTAAGATCATGTGATTTTTCTAACTTTAGTTTATAATTTGATTGGATTGAGTCATTCTGCTTCATCAATTCTATTCTACATATGACGTTAAACTTCTTTATTTACAATTCTTATTCAACGTCATCTATAATTACATTAAAGAAATAGAATTGATCTAGATTTGATAATTAGATCTATTCTGATTAGAGTTACTCAACATACAGATGTGCTTTCTTCTTCGGTCAATATCGTATAGTAAAACCCTTAAACCATTTTAGTGTAATTATAAACGAATCAAAAAAATAATTAAAATTTATTTCTCCTGTCAAAATTGACTTTGTACTCTTAACAAATTTTCCCACGCAAACCCCGGACAGGAGAATCAGATCTCTATTTATGTGCTCAAATACATTACTATAATCTCTATATACTCTACAATTCATCATGATAGAATTCATCTTCATCGTCTTCTACCTGACCCATATTCAGAGCATCGTTTTCCTCTTCCTCTTCCAACTCAGGGTCTACTTGATCAAGTTGCCTTTTGCCTGCTTCTTCAAATAATTCATGAGTCTCGCTTTCATACTCTATCCATTCAGGTAATAATCTTCTTGCCACATCTAATTTGTTTTCCTTAGTTAACGGATTATTACAAAGATCAACCATCTTAGCATTCTTTAAACTTTCATCCCCACACCATGTTTCACACCATAACCATTCCTGTGGCAAACTAAAGATCTTGATCAGTCTTTGCATATTGTTAGGTAAATCTTGATCTAAGTTACTTAATGAATTAGGATCCGAAGAAAGTTTCTGATAATGTGATCTTAATCGATCTCCAGCATGTATTTCACGGAATCTCTTCAAATCAACCACATACAATGCACTGATATGATATTTCAAATCATCTTTCAATACCTCTGACCAATATCCAGATTTCCAAAACCTAAACCCATCCATTTCTTTTCGTGAATCACACATTGGAGTAAATCCATAAGCGGCACCTTCAAGATCGATATCAGTTAATTCAGTTAAATCTGTTCGGCAAATTTGATCAGCATCTATAAATATAATCTTATCTAAATCTTGAGGGAATAAAACATCCAAAAATAAAATCTTATATCCCCAAATTGTACGATGTATTTCCTTTTGCTTTCTTAAAAAGTTGGGCCATTTATAACTAATGAATTCATATTCAATATTGTACTTTTCAGCCAAAAGAGGCATGACTTGCTTGAAACCAGGTGAAATATAGTTATCCAATATCCAAAATCTGACCAGCTTAGTGTTATGCTTTCTAACAGAAGCAATCATAATACTCAAAAGCTTTTCATACTCTTTTCCACCAGCAATAGTGAAAATATTAATATCAGCATGTTTCCGAGTCACTTTCTTTGATTCTTTGATTTCTACTTCCTTTTCATCCAAGGTAGAGACTCTTGTATGTATATCCCTTCCAGCGAGACTGAAAATTGAAACAACTTCATAATCTTTTGGTTCGGCATTTGGATCATGTTTATTCTCGGAAGCAGATAAAAGAGCATACTGGTCTGGCTTGGCACTCAATTTCCATATTCCAGGATTTGCCTTGATTTGGAAATAATTTAAACTAGACATAACAGATGTATCGGTACTAATATTACTATTAGTTAATTCCAACAGCAATCCATCAGGGGTTCTTCCTGTATGAATATCCCTTGCATAACCTTCAATCAAAATATTCTTTAGTTCATATTTGGCAACTATGGAACTATTCTCTAAAGTAGAAAAATTAATATTGTCCATTGTAACACCAGGTGAAGCATTCTTTGAACTTACTATCCATTTATTTGGCACATCCAATTCCACTGCCAAGCTCTCGTCACCGGGCAACATGTCGAATTCGACCGGGTGTCTTTGCAACCACCTACCTTTATCATCAAATTTTATTTGAGATGAAGGATATGATCCCTTGTAAAACCTGCCAATACCAATTTCTTCGTTGTTTATCTGTGGTTGTAATAAGATTCGGATATTAACAAATTCCAAATCCCTAATGGACAGTACTATACTAACCACCTTTTGAGAATATTCCTGCATGGGGTCCAAAATCAATAACACATCCACTGGATTATTTTGGTTGTATTCATCCACTTCAAATGAATTACTCATATCTACTGAACTGAAGTCAAATCGGTTAACATCCACGACAAATAATTTATCATCAACATGAAAAGATTTGGTGACTATGGAACATACCAAATCGAACCAATCTAGATTATCTAAACCTGAAGTCTGACTATTGAACTCTTGAAGAAGTTTATAATCAAATTTATCGGGATATGTTTCAACTATGTCCTTTAATAAATTTAAACGTTGGGAATATTCATATTCAATAATTTGGTTTAATTCATCCAAAGAAAATTTCTTATCGATTCTAAAATATCTGGAATTGAAAAGCATAAATGAATGATGTACCGGAAGATGCTTCTTCGCTAACAATTTGGTGACTTCTGGATTCAAAATCTCTTTTGAGTTGTCAATTTTAATTGAATCAATGATGTTGATGATATTGTCGATATCCAGACTTGCCAAAAGATTCAACTTAAACTTCTTTTGTAGCGTTTCAAGTTCTTCAAACGTTCCTCCGGTATTGATAACTCTGATTTGAATATTTTGAGTTTTAAGTAACTTCAACAATAGAACCAATTGATCAAACATTTCTTTCTTGTTAAATCTAGAAACCAACCAAAAAGTACCACCCACTCCTTCCAGTCTATCTATTGTCCTAAATGTAACTGAATTTTGAATCAACTCCCTGTCAATAGCTTTATACAAAATCTCACTAGGTTCTAAAGGAACTATTCTTAAATTTCTTTCCGGCTTTGCATTAGAATATAACAATTCCTTCAAAGAGCCTTGGATACCACCTTGTCCTAAGCGATTCTTGATCACTCCAATATCTTGTGCTATTTGTTTCCCCATACTTATTTGCCAATTAGGAGAAGCTAAATCATTGATAACACCATTGAAAATCACCGATGGTTGCGAAATACTAAATAGCTCCAATACCGACTCATGGTCATATTCTAATATGTCTCTCGAGTCTCTTTTCACAAGCCTGACCAATTCGTCCACTTCATCTTGATTTTTTGACTCAAGATACTTGTACAAAAATGCCAAAGCCTCCTTAGAATCCGATTTACTAGCAATATAGAAAAAGGAATCAGCCAATTCCTTATCCAATGGATCCTCACCAATTAATGGAAGAATCCCAACTTGTTGTGGAATACCATTATCTAAAATAATCTTCGATAATGTGAAGAAAACTCGTAATTGATTCTTACTACCAAAATTAACCGCGAATACCAAATCGTGGATATTCTCCTTCAAGGCAGGAATTTGATTTGGTTTAAGTTTGTATGAACCAGCACCTAAATATGCTTGAATTGGATCTGTCTCATATTCTTCATATGTTTGATCCCTTGCAATATCATTGAAAAATAATACACCACCTTTTGTAGGATTCGATTTATCAAAAGAATGTTCGAATATCCGGAATCGGTTTTCATTGTTTCCCATTAAGGTGTTTCCACTTCTGAATTGTGATTGTTTGACAGCTGAAAGTAAGGCGAATTTGGTGATTAATAATTTGGATTGAATGGAGTTGAACCCCAATTTAATAAGTTCTTCAATTGTATTCAATTCTGTTTTCAATTTTGATATGATTTTAAACACGTCTAATTCAAGTGGATGTATTGGTGAGCCATTGATGTAGAATCCATACGATTCTTTTGAAAGTCCTTTTTTCTCATTTTCGATTGCTTTCGACTTTACATCTTCAAAGTTTGTCAACGCCGAAAGCTTGCTAATATATGGAATAAACTTGGGGAAATCACCGAGGAGGGTATTTAGAAGTTCATACTTTGGAATCTTGTCCCTATTTGATAATACGAACGAAGAAAATCTAATCCCAATGTCTTTCAAGGAATCCTTTGCAACCAGAATCAATTCGTTGGAATTGTTGATTTTCGCAAAGTTTTTTTTTAAATCATATTTAATCTGTGTTGCAAGCTTATCCATATTAATATAGTAATCCTTATCCTTTAGTCTGAGCTCAACTCCGTAGCCAGTTAGACTATCCAAAGCTTTCTTGTACTGGGGAATATATCTCCAAACAAATCGGATCTTTCCAGCTTGAGCATCCTGATATAATGGCATAATAAATTGCTTTGTCAGTGAAGAAATTGGGTTTCCATATAGAATCAATAAAGGTGCCTCTCTGTTGTGACCAATAACTCTATCAAAAGGTAGTAATTGAGCTTCTGTGGTTTTATCAGTTTGAAGGGCAAATAAGTCATTTCCAGAGCAATATAATTTATCATTATAGAGTAGCCACGTTTGATGATTACCTTGCTTGTCTGTTTCTACTATATTTCCAAAGGAATCACGAGAGCATTCAGTTACCAATCTATGCTTAAATTGAGGTAATATTTCTTTATTGTAATATTCATAATGGGAAATTACTCGAGGTATATGGACTTTATTCACAATATTGAAATCAATAAAACTCCTCTGAGTAGGACTTAATGAAAGCTTTTCCAACACATTAGAATAAATAGTCTCTTCAGATGTGTCAGTTAAGTCGATATCTTCACTATCTTCAAATAAACCAAAAAGCAATTCAATTGTCGGAACATACAATGATTCGTCATAGCCTGAAATACTTTCTAATAAATTCACATAAAAGTTGGTTTCTTTCCAAGTTGCTTCTACTTCAATTTTCAATATCTGATCCTTTGGAATTGAATTATAAGCGTAAGTAAACAGTAGAAAGCTTATCCAACCAACGATATAGAGCCATTGAGTTAACATGATACTTTATTTCAATATGGTGGAGAGAAGGAGGTACAAAGAAGATGATGATGCTGCAGTGGCATGTTGTGAAATTTTCTACGTGTCCAGCACAATATAAATTTATTAACATTCTAGTTGCATGGAACCTATACACTATCCATCTATAACTACTATTTCATTATCTACAAGTTTATTGTCATTCTCTTCGTCTTTAGTTAAATCGACTACTTCCTTTACATTTGTCTTATTTGAGTCATTTTGTACTTTTTGTACTTTCCTTGCACTTCCGTTGTCACCATCATCATCATCATCACCAATTTCAATTATATCGAGATCCGCATCGTCTGGTACTTCTTCCTTCCCAACAGCCTCACTATGGCACCATTTGGAATCCCTTTGACGTCGCTCGGCAGCCTCAAGCATTAGAAGACGAAGTTGCCTTTGTTTTTGTACAGGGTCTATTGGACCGGTATTCGTCGGACGTGCCTTTCCTGGTCCCAACGATGAACCCAGACCCAAGACTCTTACTTCTGCTTTATACTTGGGTTTACTTAACTCCTTAAGTCTCTTGTCTCTAATCGTTGCAGCATTCGAAAATGCATCATACTTTGATCCCAACCTCTCTTCTTCGCATCTATAGTTCATATTCGCTCCACCACCATATTGAATTTCTTCAAATCTCTTCTTTAACTTATCCAAGAAATCATAAAACTTTTGATCATGAGCTCCATATAAATTATGTGTTAATTCATGTAAGAATGTTCCAACGATATCACTCATTGGATAAAACGATCTATCATTTGAATGATATCTCAACCGAAGTAAGATCTTTTGACCTCGATTCACATTCAATCCTAATAGGTTTGGATCATTGGGAAACATCTCACATAAAGTACCAACCTTGAAATTATTCTCATGAATTATTGGTGCCACTAATTTTGCCACATCGTGTAATAAAGAATTCGCGTACTCTTTGTCAGGATATCGATTTAAACTACCTATCCTACCTATGTTGGATACTGGAGATGGTTTATTTGGTTGCTTCGTCCCTTTGTTATAACTCCCATAACCTTTGAGAACCATCTCTGCTTATTGGCTTGATCTACAGTGTAATTAGAAACTTGATATAAAATTACTAATTAAATTTCTACAATTAAAATTTGATTATTTCGCATCATAACTCAAATTATATCGGCCGACAAAAAATAGTGTGGTGGCAAACAGGCTCGAAATGGTGCGTCTTTGTATGTCCGTGGTAACACTAAAAATCGTATCATCTTTCTAACTGGTTCCATTTGTAAGTTTATACAATTGATCAACAAAATCGATCATGAAACTTGCAGGAGTCTCGGATCTGGTAGCTGCTTCAGAACCAGCGGTATTGTAAAGACGCACTGCGTTAACAACAGCTTTGAAAGCGTCAAACGAATTTCCTATCATTTCCTTGCCATCCGCTTTGGCTGCCAAAAAGGCAGCAATGGTGCTACCCAATGAACAACCAGACCCAGTAACTAAACCCATGAGCTTACTTCCTCCTGGAACTACAAAAGCCTTATCGTCTTGAATCATATAGTTCTCTGGTCCTGTGATTACAACCATGGTTTTGAAGTCGATAGAAACTTTCTTTCCTATTTCAACTATTTGCTCTGGGGTTAATTTTGCAACAGAGTCAACGCCTCTCATCAATGAATCATCGGAATCGGACGCCTTATACGAACTGGTTAACTTCCAAATACCCATTATTTCGCCTACATTTCCTTTGATGACAGTAAATTGACCAGTATTCAACAAAATTCTGCAACGTTCCAATCTTGCTTGGGTAGCACCACATGCGACAGGATCAAAGACTATTGGTTTACCATATTTGTTATAAACCAATATCGCGTGCTTAAACACCGCCATTAATTCATCAGTTGGAGTACCCAAGTTTAACAAAAGACCAATATTAGGGATTCCAGAAGCAAATTCTTCATATTCTGCAGGTAATTCAGACATAATTGGAGAAGCGCCTATTGCTAAAGTGACATTTGCACTAAAATTCTTTACAACGTTGTTTGTAATATGGTGAACTAATGGGTGAGATTCTGTCAATTGAGCTATCACACGCCTGACGTCAGATTCTCTACCATCAGTTGTGTCATTTACCCATATTGGCTTTGACTTGATTATAACAAGCAATTCTCTTGTTGCTTTACCTGCGTCCTCATTTGCCATGATACACGAAACTACTGCGACACCATCTATGGCTTGGCCTGGTATTGAACACTGATACATAACTTTGTCCGCATTCGAATGGTTGATACCACCAATAGCAACAGACGAGATTCTTTTATTCTCCTTGATCGAATTATATCTGTGTAAAACTTGAAGCATTTTTCTAACTCCAATAGGACCAGTTCCTTCAGGGTCAGTAACATTCTTCTTAGTTTCAGTCTTATAAACAGTTCCCAACCCAACATAGTCTGCAATGCCTTCTTCAATAACTGCTTCAACTTCAGATGGAACAGAACATGTGACCCCCAAGATCTTATCATTTCCGATAAGTTTTCTGACCAATTTGGCTGGCATATCGTCTTGACCCACATGAACACCTTCAGCATCGATTGCAAGAGCAACATCGACTCTATCGTTGATAATTAAAGGAATTCCCCTTTTCTTAGTCAATTCGTGGACTTTCTCGGCTCTTTCGATGAAATCTAAGGTTGAAAGTGATTTTTCTCGTAATTGAATTATGGTGGCTCCATTGTCAATTGCTTGTTCTACCTGACCCAAAAACGTGCATGATTCAGGGATCATGGTAGAATCGGTTACCAAATATAAGGAGTAATCAACTGCTTGGCTCATAGTTGCTAATTGACTATAAATCAAGGAAGAAGAGATTATATAGACTTGAGAATCTTTCTGTTCAAGTTTTCATCCAAGATCTGTCCGAAGTAATGAGAAAAAAATTCCAATGCGCATAAGAGAATATGCGCTTAGAGGGATTTGTTAGATCGGAGCCTGTAAATGCTATGATTTGTTGATGTGAACCATGATCCATCTCCCTCGAGACCTCAAAGAAAGCTACTGTTTAATCATTGTTTAAAGCTCTTCTACCAGGTCACTGTACTCTCATCCATACAATCCCACTTGGTAGCACAATAAAACCCCTCTCTTGTCAGGATTCTAATAGAAGTTTTGTTGTAAAGAATGCCAATTCACCTTGCATAGATCCGCTACTCATATGCATGAGACTTGTGGCTAGGTACATGTGCATGTACATGTATCAATATTTTCACAACTCAAGATTCAAACCAATAAATTGCGCTTTTTTATGCATCATTTGCCACAGACTACTTGCTTTTGTACCTTGTCAATGGCTTTATCATCGAGCTTTTTAGAATGTCGTTTGAAATGAGAAGCTACGATCTAAATACCGAGCATTCAATTAGCTAGTGAGATCTTCAGTTCGAAATGTAGCCGATATCTCTTGGAAAGATCAATCAACAGTTACATGCAAGTCAAATTAGTTAAAATATTGAAGGAAACTTGTATTTTCTACCATGCAAGTAGTCTTTATTGTCCAAACTTTTTCTTAAACATGACGACATCTTCATCTTGAGCTTCTTCTGAAGACGGGTGTATATGCAATTTAGAAAGTGAGGATTCCTCTTTTACAGTACTATATAACCTTTAGAAAAATAGAATCCAAATTAGAAACCTCTTTATTACCAACGGGATCCTGATTTAATATTATCTAGAGTCTTATATCTTTTCAGTTTTAGTGAAGCATTCACATAAACAATTTTCTTCTTTTTTGCAACTTTCCCATAACCCATTTTAGAATCATTTATTTAAGTAAGGGAACATAATCGAGACTTCAGATTCAGTGGTGACGTACGAACACGCCCATATTAAAAAGAAATCAAGAAATCAAGCCCCGGTAGATGAGCGAGGCTTACATGCGTCAAAAACATGTAACCTCAGAATTTTTAAACAATACCGAAAAGAGACAAGATTTTTTCAGGTGTGCTCCCTTAGTCCCCAGATATCCTTATGACTCATGCGGAGTTAAGAAAACTGGGGGGTCCCGTTGCTGAACTATAAATTACTTTGCTTTCCCCTATCCTTTTTGTTCAAATCTTTAAACTTCATTACAGGTTGTCGTAATTGTTGTTTCGTAAAAATCGCTCATTTTTTTCATAAAAATAGGTACAATTAATTATTATTTATTAAAAAATTTTTGCGGGATTTATAAAAATTTATTACACAGGGCGAAGTTTTGCAATTAAATTAATTTTAATTAAAAGTTTCAAATTTAAAATACCTCAAGAGAGGATTACGGGCTGATTTATAAAAGGAGGCTATTAGTGTTTGAAATCAAAAGTTAATAGAAAATGGAACAAGATCCAAAAGCTTTAGAAGAAGAAGAGATGGTCAAGGCACAGCATAGGAGAAAGCCAGAGTTTAATGAACGATATTATATTTGTAGATGTACTGAAGGATATTATTCTAATTTCAGTATTACTGCAAAATATAATAAACGATTTTCCAAAGAGTTGTTGTCAAATGCATTACAATCTATGATTAGAAACAATAGTTGGTTTACGCTTAATTTCTTTAAGGATAATGATGATAGTAGTGCTCAAGTGAATGGTATGGATTATGAAGTTAGATGTGTGGAGAAGATTAAGTTTTCAGACGTCGTAAGCTTTCGCCAGATTGAACAGTTTGATGCAACTACATTAGAAGAAGTTAATATGCTCACATTAAAGATGAATGTGAATTTACCATTATGGAGAATTATTGTGTTTGAAGAAGTTGGTGGAGACCAATACGTTTGTGTCTACGTTGATCATTCTCATTATGATGGTTTATCGGCTGTTCAATTTCATAAGGATTTAACCAAAGAGTTATCATTGGCAGTTATTGATCATGTTGAAGTATTATTTGACTATAAGAGAGACTTTGAATACTTGCCTGAGAAAATCTTACCACCAGTTGAAACATTGACAGATTTATACATTCCTTCATATGCAAAAGTCGTTAGACATTATCTAGAGACATACATTCCCGGTCTCTCGGATTTTGTATCCTGGGCTTCAACATTACGGTTACTCTCCGATGCAAATGAAAACTTGGAACTACTGACCCATCCTCTTTTCTATACCAAGAATAGAGTAGAAAGAGTATTGCAAACAAAGTTCAAAATTTTCAACTTTTCATCTAGTGAAGTATCAAAAATGATTGATTATTGTAGATTACATAAAATCACATTGTCAGCATATTTTGATATCCTTTGCTTACAATCTCTTGAAGAGACCATTTTCAAAGCTGTTGATCCTTCAACACAATTTTCTACAAGCTCCCTTGTAGCTATTAATGGAAGAAGGTATTATTCTGAGGATATTAGAAACTTCAAATATGGGACGATGGTTTGTGGTGATCAAATTATTTTACCTCCTATTAAACGAAAACCTCTTGAATCAATGAAGAAATTTCATAAAAAATTGCGGGAAAACATCAAAAGCAAAGCTTCATTCAAAATTATTGGTATGTACAACTATATAAATTGTTGGGATTTCTTTAGAAAGAAGTTAGGTAAGGTTGGTGGTCGTTTCTCTTTGACTATCTCCAATCTTGGGAAGATTGAGAATTCAAATGATGAATTCAAATTTGAAAAAATTTTCTTTGCCCTGAATACTGGATTGGTATATAATTTCATTCTTAACATGACAACGACTCCAGACAATGAATTAACGGTGGTATTTGGTTATTTGCCAGAGTTTGAAGAATACCAATTGCATGGCAAAAAAGCCATTGATTTATTTGCTAATCAATTCCAAACCAAGCTTCGAGATTTTTCAAAGGAAAAATAAGCTTCTAATTGTCATCATCTCGATCATGATCTGATATTATATTTATATCATCACTCTCCTTAAAACTAGACATCCATTTAGATATACCTTGTTTTTCACTTCTGCTAACCAAATGCATCAACTCTTTAGTTTTTTTAATAGAATATTGTTCGCACTTTTTAATCGTTCCACTTACATGTGTACATCGTATTATCACATTTTGATCTTCTATTCTTTGAATCAAAGCAAGTGCAGCCACCACCAATTCAAAATGACCTCTACCACATCGAACTATTCCTGTAGATGTCTTATTGGAAAAATATTTAACTTGCAATTGCATTCCTGCACATCCTACTCCGAAATCTCCAAAATGCGTTTGTAAACTTTTCCGTATAGCCAGAACTAGGGCTTTTTGACTTATTGATGATGGTGATGATTGATGTAATGAAAGCAATGCATTCAGTTCAGATTGACTGAATTCATTGAAATCTTCTCTTGATGTAATTCTATCATCAGCTGATGGAGCATATAAGATATCGAATAGGATGTATCTCTGTTTTATTCTAACCATTGTTGTGTATCGAGTTGTGTCTGTTTTCCAATGAGATGAGGAGGTTTGACAATTTTGAAAATTTTAGATTTTTTTCCCTCAACCTTGTACAAGCTCTGGTTGCAAAAAAACGGAGTTATATTACAATATATTACATTAAGAGTCTACATAATTTATACAGTCAAATACCTTTCAGTTAATTCTCTGGCATATTGTGAGTTTCCACTAATATTATAAATCAAAGACAAATTGTACGCCGCATCAAACAGTAAGTCATAATCAGGGTCATCAATAAATTCATCATGCATGGCCAAAACTTTATCATAATGAGGAACAGCAAGTGATGTCAACCCTAACATATGGAAAAGTCTTGCCAAATTATATTCTATTTCTTGTAATTCATATTTTGTAGCACCTTTTGCTCTAATGTCACGATATTCTAGGATATAACTTATTCCTTGAAGTAATTGAATATGTCTATTAGAACTCAATCGTTGCATGGCACGATGAACATGCAACAACCCCATAACTAAACAGATCATAGGATCTTGGTTGTATCTCTTGTATGCCCTGTTAAGATATACTAATGAAGACAGATAACTTCTACTACCACCAAGTAAATTAGCATAAAGATATAATAAATCAGGATGATCTTTTGTCAATTTCACATTCTTAACATCAGCTGTTACCATTGCCATACCAGTAATCTTCTTTTTCAAAGCACATGAATCATAAGCCTTTAATTGACGTAAGAAAAATTTCTGATGGTTATAACTGGTGAAAGTTTCCCATGGATAAACACCCGATGAAAAACAACAAAAGAATAATCTACACACAAATGGTGAAAACTGATTGGTGACCAAGAAATATCTGATATAACTAACAACCGTGGTATTGTGTTCATCGTTCTCTATTCCAATCATCAACTTTAGCAACTTCAAAAATGCTTCTTTTTTCTTATCTTGGATAAAAACACTTCCTGCCATTGCAATATCGACAATTTCATTGGCATATTCATTATTCTTTTCAAATTTAGAAACTAGGATTGCATATTGTGCGAAAATATAGAACCATTGGTCATATGTAAGTCCTCTATATTCAGTCTTTGCTGTCAATGTGTGTCTGGAATAGTTTTCATCTTGCGTTATACCCTCCAATAAGTTATACGCTCTTGCTAATCTTTCATCAATATTCATCCCCTTCTTTCTTCTATATAAGACAATCCCCTTGAATTCTCTATTTTTATCCTTAGGAAAGAAATTCTTGACACTGGTGAACATTTCAATTAATGGTGCTGCTAGTTGCATCCAAGCGGCAACGGCAGTTTTATCACCTGAATTAATAGATTCTTCTAATCTTTCCATACGACCAAACTTTTCCAAAACTTTCCTGGTGGCGAGATTTTCGATTTCCAGTCTTTCTTGTTCAGTTAACTTGGCCGACTTTGGTCGTAATCTGATCTGGGTTTTAATTAACGAGAGATTATTTGTTTCTTCTTCATCTTCTTCGAAAATATCTTCAACTTGATCCCCTTTCCGTTCTTTCAGCATATTATTCGCCGTTTGTACTTCCTTGATTAATATTTGTGCCTTTTCATCATCTCCCAAATGGTAGAGAGTTTCAGCCAATGCTAATTTGAAATCAAGATTAGTTGGTTCATTTTCTAACAATGTTTCATATGCCTGTTTGGCTTGTGAATAATCCCCGACTTCAAAGAAACATTTCCCTAACAAATTAATCAATTCTGGACTTTCATTAAACTCGTCATTTAATGTGGCTCTGGTTAAGAAAGTTAACGCTTCTTCATGATATCCATGTTCTTCCAAAGCTTTCCCGGCATCGAAATGTAAATCGGCAATATCTTCTTCATCTTCAAGCAAGAAATCAAAATGATGAATTGCTTCTTCCTTCTGTCCTAACCCTAACCTCAAACTACCCAATTTAAATCTAATATCAATAGGTAAATCAAAAAACTTCGATTCTGCTTCTCTTCTTAGACCTGCATCTTTGACTTTTGCAAGAATTGCTGGTCTTCTTTCCTTATCATATTCTGCATCATCATCATTTTCATCCCAGAAAGTTTCATTAGTCCTATTTTGGATCCATCTTGATGCAAGCTTCAATACATTTAACCCTATTCTCCATGAATGATGTTGTATATGTAATTCTAATAAGATATTAAGCTCAGCCCATCCAAAAGCGGGATAACTTGTTTTATTATCAGGATCAGGGTGGATATTACTATCCAAAACTTTCATGTATAAATTTATAGCATCATTCAATCTCTTTTGTTCAACATAAACACTAGCTAATTGTTTAATAATATTTGAATCTGCTGGATATAAGATTCTAACTTTTTGAAGCCCATCTAAAGCTTTACCGAATTGCCTTCTTTCTTTATAAAGTAAAGCTCTTTGTAATATATATCTTGCACTCTTTTTAACATCTGACGTTATAGCTCTTCCATAGCAGTATATGGCTTGATCGACATGTCCTAATTCTGCTGATAATTCGGCAACATTGCCCCAGAATTGTGTATCCCAAGGATGAATATTCGCCGCCAAGAGCCAATAATTACAACATTCATTTAATTTACCTTGTTGTTTATAGATTTCTCCTAATGTTTTATAAGCACTGAAATTTTTCGGATCTTTTTTAATAACTTCAAGATATAAATTTTGAGCCACTTGTATATCATTTCTAACAAATGCTTCATTGGCTTTGGAAAGATTCAGTCTAACTTCTGGATCTAATTCTCGATTATCTGCTCGCATCATTTTTCGTTTATAATATGATTTAGCCGATGTCGATAATTTCTCACGACGATTTCTAACTCGGAAATTCCCAGCACTTTTTAAAGCATCTTTGAAATTATAATTCTCATCATAATCGTCTTCTTCAGATTCATCACCAAATATGAAATCGTCATCATCGTCATCTGATTGATCGAATACTAGTTGTTGATCTTCAAATTCGTTGTCATCATCTTGTTCTGCTTCGTTTTGAAATTCATTCAAAAGCTCATCAAATTGCTGGTCTTCGTCTTCTAATTGATTGGCACCATTTATGCTTTGGAGGGAGTTGGCTTCATTTACTACACCTTTCCCCTCCTCTGTTTCAAACACATTGTTCGACATGATTAATGAAGTCGACTGTCTTGGTTGATTGGAAGCTTGTTTATGATTCTGTTGTGATGATGTTTTGCAAAATATCAAATTACAGTTTTTCTCCTTGGGAAATTTTTTGCATGTTTGAAAATTTACATGTTACAAACGATATTTTACATGTTTGATCTCAATCTGGGGTAATTAGACATTTCGATGAGTATGGAGGAAGGATAAATGGTCATTGTCGAACTTTGTCAAAAAATATTTGGTATTCGTCGATAGGCTTAGTCAATATTCAAATTCAATAATACTTTTTGTTACAAGGAAGTTCGAACAGTTGAATTGTGGGAGTTTCGAATATTGTTTATTCCCAAAACTAAGGATTTGTATATCAAAACCAAGAAATACAAAAGAAATACTCCCAATCACAAAGTGGTCCGATTTCTCTAGTGGTTCATAAAATACCAAATGAAACATATTATTATAAAACTTTATACGGTCAGTTTAACTATTTGGTTATTAGCCCCAATTTGATTCAGTCGAGTGCAAAGTCAAGAAACCTACGTGTAGTGCTCAATCTGGAATTGGCGCTAGGGTATATTGTTGTAGAACTGAGTGTAGTTGATACTGATATTGTTTAATAACTTCCATCGTGGTGTTGATAAATCTGATAGAAATACGATGGAGTCTTGGGGGTGGCCATATAAATGTAATTTAGAGAATAATACATCAATGTCTCAGATTTCGCGTGTTTTCCCGATTCGTCTGTCTAAGGAAAATCACATGAAAATTATAATTTTAGTGTAGATGTGTGTCATTTCAGACGAGACGTATTAAAACGATACTGTAAAAAGCCAACAAAGTATCAACTTACATTAGTAATGCAAATATGAGAGATTGTAGAAGTGGCATTAACTGCAGCTGTCCTCTTGTAAGTGACCCCGTTGTTGTCATCATCATTGTACTTTAATGAATCACATGAATGGAACAAGCAGAAGAACAATAGAATAAAATAAATTATTATTATTTTTAGATGATTCATTCTAGGGGGTTAGGAGTGAGGGCGATAAGATACATTTGTATTGCTCATAATGGTTTGTGTATAAATAGGCTTCAATAAATCTGATTTTTAAAAACCTCATTTTATTTCCCACTTCTTTCTCTTTGTCTTATTAATCATTAATCATAAAATAAAATGGTATGTTCATTTCATGTTTACATTAGATTATTTTTTTAGTCAGACAACGTGATTTCTAATTTTCTTTTTCATTCCTTGGAAAGTCCCGTGCTGAAATTTTAAACGAGACAGTGATAGTTGGACAGAAAGAATCATACGGTCCCCTGTCCACAGCGGAATAAAATTTTAAAACTGAACAGAACAGAAAGAAAAAAGAACCCAAAAAAAAAGAAGTCACTCAAAAAGAAACAACAAAAAATTTTCTTTGTTATTTTCCAGAAGTCATTTTCATTCCATTTCTTTCGGTTTACACCTGTTGATATCTGCATAATATAAAAGATCACAAAGAATTACAATCATTTATTTAAAGGAAAAAGAAAATTAGAGATTGAAAAAAAAAATGTCTACTTTAAGGAAAACAGCTCTTTCTAACGTTAATATGAAGAATTCCCAATCAATTTCTTCGGCGACACAATCTTCAGAGATTGCCCCAGGCAAATTGGAAAAATCAGACTCGGTTATTAATTTAACAAAACCAGAGTTATATGGTATTTATAATAGTGATTCATTATTTGGTACTAATGTAGAAGATATGGATCTTTACATTAAAACTGCTAAACCTAAAGAAAAAGATGATTCTATACCTGCTAGACAACCCCCACAAAACTTGTACTCGTTACCACTCCTTGTAAAGTTTATGATTTTAGCTGCTTCTGCATTCATATATAATGAAATAACTAAACATATCAATTATAGTCATTTTAGTGATAATAAATTGGCGAACATCCCATTGGCAATTTCAAATGTATTTGTCTATGGGTTTTTTGCCAAATTTAGAATCGGAACATATACATCAATCGAAACTGAATTTGGACAAACTTTAGACAATGTATTTGCTCTTACTGTTCAAGGATTAGCCATGAGTTTAATTCATCCAATAATGGATTATTTATTGCCCGCCTCGTTTTCAAAACGTTTATTATCATCAAACCCAAACCCAACCCGTTCAACTTCATATTCCAATTTATTCAATGATTTGATTAGATCATCAATCACATTCTTAGGAATCAGTTATGCTATTCGTAAAATTGAATGGTCTTCGTTTTTACAAGTATCTATTGTTTGGTCTTTATTAAACCCAGGATTATGGTTACTTTTAGATGGTACTGTTTCTGGTTTCTTAGCTTCCCTTATTGGATGTACTGCTGCTTGTGTAGTGATTTATCTTCAGAATTATGATTTTGTACTTCAATACTCTTCCAATCAAGAAGTTTCAATCGCCCTTTGGTTGTGGATTGGAAGTTTCTTCTTTTGTGGGATTATTACTTTTGGTAAGATTGGTAGAGGTTTGTTTAGTAATTAGAAGCGCGCAGGGTTTGATGATGATGATGATGATGGTTTTTTTTTATTTTATTTTATTTTGATTTAAGTTGGTTCTATTATTCTCCGGTTAGATAAAACTTTTTAGACATTTAATGTATAATTAAATAAAGAGATTTAATTATTAAATTATTCGAATTGAAGATAGCAAGTGCGTAGTCTACAAACAACGAGATCATCGTATCTTTGACCAGATGGATCTATCGAATTGTAATGTTGCTTCTCTTTGGATGACACTTCTAAATGTTTCAATGCAAAGTATATATATATATAGACTTCCTACAAGAAGAAGAAGATGAATCTAAGTAAACTTGATCCATACTTTGTTATCAATTCAGAATGTTTGCTGCAACTTTTTTTGTATTTTCACTCTTCACTTTAGAAACGTGTAACTAGATAAAAAGGTTGTTGCTTGAAAATATGTTGGAGAATAAACCTGAATTAAAATCAGAAGCATTGAATCAAATCATTAAATGGTGTGAAGATGGTAACTTGCTAAACTGCCATTTGAACAAACTAGCTTTGATGATTCAGTACCTTTGCATGGAATATATCAACAAGTGATAACAAAAGCCACACCGACGCTGCACAAATTGCCCTTTCATGTTCAATATCTTCAGAAGAAAGCTGACTTCCTCGTAAATGACTGTCATTTCTGCTAACAATTCTAATAGGGAGTGCGCTTTGGTTGCTTCGAATCATTTTCAATGGCAATCATCAAAAATTCATATTTTACAAATTTGTTCGGTATTTTGATTTCGGCAATCGCTTTCCCAATACGTTTCGAAATAAAAGCTTGTACTTCTTTCAATCACCGTATCTGTTGACGTCCCGACAAGTTCAGAAACCATTTTTTTCTTGACGCGTCCGCAATCCATCTTCCAGAAACATAGATAAAAACCTGTTAAGTACAAGTACTGGCAGGAGAAAATCTTTGTCTATTACAAAGTTACCGACCCTCCACCAATTGAAAGTGTCCTTGGAATTAATAGGCCAGACTCGTCTGAGAAACGATAAGTGGTTCTCTGGCTCCAACAATTTTACAAGTGACCAGTTACATCTCGTTGACGTTATTTTGCTTGGCTGCGCTTCTAGTTGAGTCAATGATAAGATATATCCGAACATTGGCTCGTGAAATCAAGATAGGCTTTATGCGCGGGGAAAGAATTATCTCGATCCAGGTCATATTGAATCCTGTCAAGGAACACCCTGTTGGTTGATCCCATATTGATTCGTATTATTAAGTATTTTGGATGCTGAATGTGAATCCTGCTTGGTGCTCTCGGGTGAACAAAATACACTATGAAGCCACTAACCTCGTCAACGTCTCCCAATAGAGGTTGATAGGAGTATAGTCCTTATCTAATCATGACAACCCAGGAATATTTTCCGGGACACATCTCCTATATAAATTCGCAGTTCGGTGCATGTTGGCAATGTCGCTATCAATTCATAGACCCTTTCACCATAAAAGCTTGACCTTCGGAACTTTCCATTTTAAACGTTACTTAGAGGTCGGTACTCCAAAATATGTTCATGATTGATTTTTCCGGGCACAGGTTAGGCGACAAGTATTCTCTAAAGAGATTCTAGGAGCTTCTTCTTATCATTTCCAATTCAGGAGGTTAATCAATTACATAATTTCTTGCTTGGAGTTTTTGGTTATAATATAAATACAATAGAATTTCATAGTCAGATCTGGATTTGGTTTGTTTACTTCAGTGACTTTCCTCAAGAAATCAAAGAAAATGTTGCAAGAAAAACGACCATCTCCCACACCATCAAAAGATGACATCCTGGAACCTGGGATGCGTATTGTTTCAAGCACCATTGACCCAACCCAAACTGGCCTAACTGGTTTTGCAAAGTTCAAAGATAGTTTTAGACGTGCTCATGTTGAAGATATTGGAGTTGATCCTAATATTTCAGAAGCTGAAAAGATTGCTATCTTAACAGCAAACTCGCCTTTAGCCCGAAAACTCAAGAATAGACACTTACAAATGATTGCAATTGGTGGCTCAATTGGTACTGGTTTATTCATTGGTTCGGGATCAGCGCTAGCTACGGGTGGTCCAGCGGGATTGTTAATTGGTTATATTTTGATTGGTACAATGATTTATTGCACCGTACAATCATTAGGTGAGTTGGCCGTCACTTTCCCCATTTCTGGTGCTTACGTTACATATAATTCCAGATTTGTCGACCCATCTTGGGGATTTGCCATGGCTTGGATATATGCGTTGGGGTGGTTAATTACGTTACCATTAGAATTGGTGGCGGCATCTTTAACTGTTAAGTATTGGGATCAAGATACTAATTCCGCGGCTTACGTTACTGCTTTCTTTTTCTTTATTATTGCTATTAACTTTTTTGGTGTTAGAGGATACGGTGAAGCTGAATTCATTTTCTCCCTCATAAAAGTGTTGGCTGTCTGTGGTTTTATTATTTTAGGGATCGTGCTCATTACTGGAGGTGGTCCTCAAGGCGGTTACTTAGGCGGTAGATACTGGCATATAGAGGGTGCCCCCTTCCCCAATGGATTCAAAGGTGTAGCCACCGTGTTTGTTGGAGCTGCTTTCGCTTTTGCTGGAACTGAATTATGTGGGTTGGCAGCTGCTGAATCTGCTAATCCAAAGAAATCGTTACCTAAGGCATGCAAGCAAGTATTTTGGAGAATCACCTTATTTTATGTTATTAGCTTAACATTAGTAGGTATGTTGGTTCCTTACAACAATGAAAGGTTACTTGGAACTTCTTCGGTGGATATCACCGCCTCCCCTTTCGTTATTGCTATTCAAAATGGTGGAATCCTGGGATTGCCTTCAGTAATGAATGTTGTGATCATGATTGCTGTCTTATCGGTTGGAAATTCTTCCATCTTTGCATCATCCCGAACATTGGCTGCATTGGCTGCATCTGAACAAGCTCCAAAAATATTAGGTTACATTGACAAAAAGGGCAGACCACTAGTGGCAATTGCTGTCCAATTGCTAACTGGATTTTTGTGTTACTTAGCAGCTACACCTAAGCAAGGGGAAGTATTTGGTTGGATGTTGGCTCTTAGTGGCCTTTCTTCGCTTTTTAACTGGGCTTCGATTAATATGTGTTTAATTCGATTCAGAAGGGCGTTAAAGGTGAAAGGACGCGATACTTCCGAATTGGCTTTCGCTTCTCAACCGGGACTAATTGGTGCATACTGGGGTGTTAGTTTAATTTTCGTTATTGTTTGCTTGCAATTCTGGATTGCTATCTTTCCGTTAAATGGAAAACCAAACGTAGAGGCCTTCTTCGAGACGTTCCTTACAGTGCCGGTTGTTTTCCTTTTCTACTTTGGTCATAAGATATACACGCGCAATTGGATTTTCTATATCAGGGCCAAGGATATTGATGTTGACACCGGAAGAAGAGAAACTGATTTGGATTTGGTTAAACAGGAGCTTGCTGAAGAAAAAGCGTATATTAAATCTTTGCCATTCTATAAGAGAGTGTACAATTTCTGGTGCTAAGAATAGTGTTTACTTTTATAGTTTCTTCTCTAAGTTATTGTGTGTGTCTCAATGAAACATTTTGTGTTCTAACCACATTGTACACTTCCCAATTTCCCATTGATTTTGGTCTGGATATTTGATTGGAATCTTCTCTGAAATAAATTTGTTGAGATATAATTTGGTATGAGAAATGCTTGTGAGGTGGAAGAAGTAGGTGGCAGATTATTCTCACAGTTTAAACTACGAAGATTTAATATATGCAGGCGTACAGGGAAAGCTGTTCAAGTAATCTTTACTCTCTAGTGACTCGTATGAAATAGTGCTGATATTGGGGGATATGTGATAAATGTAGATGATGCCGAAGTAGTTAACTCGCCGCTAATGGCTTAACAATACTGATGGTCAAGCTTAAGGCTTTTCTTATTAAATCGTTAAATGTAGTTTATTGATACTTATAAAAGTTATAAAAACATATAAAAACAGAAGAAATGTAGCTTGTTAAATTCCAAGTATACTTTAAACAATTAACCCCAAGTTACCTTATTTACAATACAATTATAATTCCACAATATTATTTATACAAAACTTCTAACAAATGACCCTTGATTACACTTGACTCAAATAACTCGGATTCTAAAGTAACTACATCCATGTCGTGACGTCGCAGAACTGACTTTTATATAGACAAACGTCGTAAATGTAGTCAGTACCATGATAAAATACATCTAAATTTGAAACGGAAATTCACTGGATTCCTTTTTGCAGCAAATCCTCTGTAACATTTGAATTGTATGTATAACCACAACTTGTCTATCCTGTTAAAATAGAGGTCATTATTTTAATCTCCAAAACTATAATTAAACTGGAAAACTACTCCCAATTGAAAAGAAACTCAACATGAAAATCTTTCATATCCTTGATATTTTCCGATATTAAGCTCCTTAGAAATTTTGCAACCATTTCCCGATTTATTATTATTTATTTTGAGAAGTATAATTCTATCGGAGTCACAACATAGAGCCAGTTGCTTCATGTTGCACACAGCCTTATGTTTATGTGGTACCATTCACATCACAAATTGAAGCTTACCAAAGGGTTTATTACTTATTAAGAAGGATCCTTACCTCTGTTGAACCTCATTGCGGTATCATTCTGGGTTGGATATTCTATATTAGAAAAATATTGTTAAAAGTTGTAATCCTTCTAACTATAATTTGCCGATACCTCGCTCCTTCTTTGTGAACAAGGTCAATGCTTTAGCCTCCTATATGAATGAATGATTGCAAAAAATCATACAGTAAATGGGTATTCCTGTATATAAACCATTACTACTAAATTGAAGTTGATTGGTTCCTTTTGCTTTTTCACTATACAAACAAAAAAAAGATTTTGAAATTGCGAATGAAAAAAACCACACCAATCAAAAGTTTTTCTCATACAGACAAGTGTAAGGAGCTTAACCCTTTCTACAATAATAAATAACCAAACAATATGTCAGGAGGTCCAGTTCCAGTTTGGAAGAAATATACAACCCAATCTCGTGGTATTTGGGAAAAAATAAGACAATTACTCGTCTTAGTCCCCAATAGATCCTCTGGTAATCCTGTCGTTCATTTATTCAGAGCCACACCACCAGGAGCCAGAATTGATCAAGCTAATACCTATCAAGACCCCGTCACTATCCCCGCTGGTGACATTAAGGGAAATCAATATTACAAGAGAGATCATAGAAGAAATTATCCCCAAGTTGTTGGATTTAATCAGACTAAAGTTTCCGGATTGTTGAAATTGGGTTCATCTGCCCAACCAAGGATTTCGATTGGTGATAAAGGAACTCAAGAATTATCGGCATTTGTTGATCCAGCTAAAGAAGTTAGTTTGACAAGTACATTAACCAATATTCCAACTAGTGTGGTTAAGGGTCAAATATTGGGTAAAAAAGGTGAACCTATTGTTGCACCTTCTTTGAATAAATTTAAATGGGTGGTTTTGGATGAGCCTGTTCATGGGATGTATAATGATAATTATCCATGTCGTATTTTCACCGATAAGAAAGTTGAACCTGCTGCTTCTGCTAATTAAAAGAATTATCCACTTCCCTGCATTTTATTTATTCATTACATCCATCTTTCCGTATTTCCTTATAGGTTTTTATATATCTAGTTTTGTAAATTAGTAACGTAGTTAACGTTTTTATTATTAGTTTTTGTTTTTGTTGATAAAATATAAAAGAAATCTAATTCAATAAGTCTTATCTATATAAAGTAGGTCTAAATGTAATTTGTGGGAATATCGATGATAATCCATAAACCCCAAACCAGCAACATAAATATTCCACGATTGGATTCACCTGACATTTCAATCCAATTGATTTCAGATGTGTTTCCAATTGTTGTAATGTCTCACATGGATGTATCTGTACCCAAGTATCTTGTAAAAGATGATGTGTGTTTAATGATGTAACTGCCAGCCCTATCTTTAAGATATCCCTTGTCTCAAGTAATGATAATATTAATTTATGATCTTTGTAGAGCCTTACATTGATTATTGGGACGTTATAAAGATCATGATAGGATATTGTAAAGTCTAGTCGAATTCCTTTCACTTCAAGCGAAGTGTGGGAGTATACCTTATTACCAATTGGTAATTTCTTGACATAATTATTCTTGATCATGATGTCATTGTTTGAAGTATTCCAATGTAGGTTATCAATTAACAATTCATTGAATTGATCTATATTTTCATTGAATTGTTCATTGGTTATTCTAGATATCATCGTTACTTACAAATGGACAACCAAAGAGAGAAGAAAAATCGTGGTTCTCATTTACTGTATATGAAATTCGATATGCAATTAAAAGGTAATATATATAATTATTATACCATATATAAATCTATACATACACACAATTGAGAAAAGAACTAAACAATCGTGACTTGATGTTTGTCCACAGGCAAGCACTTAAAGTATAGACTTGTAACATATCATTGTGCAGCCTCTAAGCCTATCATCCACTCCCTTTTTCTTTGTGGCAAAAAAAAATTGGATGTTTTATTTCTCTAGCAATTCCACTTGACCAAAACCTAGCGAAGCTGTTCTTTGATTGGTTGTTTGATATTCTCAAACCCCGAACCAGGACATACTTATCGTTTTAGATGCTAAGTCTTGTAACTCAATGAATACCCCAACTTATATATGTCCTATCCGTCCCCCTCATATTAACATCAATCCATCTCTATTGATGAGATGCTCCCTTTGTCAGGTCTTCACCACCGCTTTCTTCTTCTTTATTAGGAGTAGCTTCATTCAAAAGTCCCGATTTCCCATTCAGGAATATCTGAGCATTTGTCGAACTAATTGAATTCCTCACCGATAATTCCCTCATTCTTTCTGCATTAGGATGTCTCATTGGCATACCTCCAGGCATCCCACTTCTAAATCCAGTGCCTAATTGTTTTTGCATGGCATAATCTCCACTATCGAAATATTTCTTATCTTGGAATCGAGTTGATAATATTTGTTGTCGGGTGGGTAATTTCCCATACATTTTGTAGATTTTTAATTCTTGGGGTGAGAGTTTTGATAAATCTAAATTTTGGGTATTCTTTGGTGGTGCTAATGGATCTTCGTCTCTATATGATGATGACATTGTAATTGGTTAGTAGTTCTTAGTTATGATTGATAAGTTATTAAAGAAAAATAGTTGTGATTATAGAAAAACGTTTCATGTAAAATTTTGGTCAGTGATCATCCATACTTAAATTAAAAAAAATCTTACTCTCTCTCCCAATGAAACTGACATCTTTGTACAGGGGAGGGGCGGGGGGAAGCAAAACGGAGAGAGAGACAAAAACGACAAGGGGCGAAAAGCGAACAAAGAATGACGAGACAGAGACGGGGGGTGCGCGTGCAGTCGTGCCCCAATTACAAAAAAAGAATTATAGTTGTTATCACGTGATTCTGATGAAATGATCCATTTATTTTTGAAATCTATACAGAAGTAACCGTGGATATAATATACGGTATTATATTCCATCCAAATAATATAGCAATATCTATAATATATATTAAAATATCATATAATTCTAAGGGAATTGGTATCCATTTATTTGGTAATTTGTTAATATACAATTGAAATTGCAATTCTTCATTCTCTGACAAATACATATCCCGATCATAAGTTTGTCCAAAGAATTCATAATCTATTCGGATATATAAATCAAATGAATCATCGGAAGTAGTTGGTATTAATTCATTTAAATGTAAATATTGATGTGAGATTCTAAAATCAAATGGATAAATTGCTGGCCAACATAACTTCACATTAAGTAAATCATCAGAATTGAAAATATTATCTTCATAATTATTAACTCTAACAAATAATGTTTTCTTCATTGGTGTAATTGAATTATAATCTGTTATTTTAATAACATTGGATATATGATCTTTATCAAATGTCTTAATTGTTTGAATAGGATATTCTAATATGATGTAATGGGTCTCATTTATAACCTGAGCATTTCTTTCTAATTTATCCTGATGATTCATATTTTTGGGATGAGGTATAATATCAAAATAATGAGGAATACGAATCAAATATGTTTCTGTATTAGCTAAACATAAAGCGGCTATATAAAAGATATATAACCATTGGAAATACATTACTTTTAGATCAAATAGTTGGAGGAGAATGACTGGGTGTAAATGTTATCTTGCTAAGTTTTTCTAGTCCGAGATTGATTTAGTGCGGACTCATCACTGTACTGATTTTTTTCATGGTCTCAAGATGGCTCTTGGATGCGAATAGCTGTTTGGCCATTACACCCCAAACTTAGAGTATCTTATTATCAATTGATTACGGTTCACAGGATTGTTATGATTCCTTACATCAGTTATCTATATTATAACGGTATTCTAATCTATCTATTACTAATACATTAAAGGTTCTATAACGTTCACTAAATGTAATTCCATCCATGGGAAATATAGTCTACATTCTTTCTTTAAGTCTTCAATTACTTTCTTAGAACATAACGTATCAAAAATTTCTAAATCAAGTAATTCTAAGTTATTATCATCTCGAGAAATTGATTTTGGAAACGATTCAAAATCATATAACTTCAATATCCAACCATGAAAGGTTAATTGACGAAGATTGGGATATTTTTCATGATTAATAAACCCACAAATATCTTTTCTTTGAATATAACTATAGTCAGCTGGTATAAAAAATGAATGCAGATCATCATATAAAATATTGATTGATAAAACTTCTAAACTTTGGAAATCTTCTTCTTTATCTTCATTCTTTATAAAACTATTAAATCTTTCAGAATGAATAAAAGGATTATCATTCTTGTAACTTATGTTCAATTTTGTCATATTATGATTATAATTAAATTGTGATAATTTAAATGGATATTCCCAAGTACAATTATGAAGTGAAACTTCATCAATAAGTAATACAGGATTACCAATTGATTGAATTTCCCAATTGAAATGATAATCATAAAGACATAGTTTCCTTAACATTTTAAAATTAGCAATATGTTCAATACTAAAAATTCTAGGATTTGTAATCGCTGTCAATGATTCATTTCTTATAATTTGATTAATATTTTTCGGGTTTTCTGATAAGAATTGATTTTGAGATTCAAGATGATCTTTTTCAAAATATAATGTTAATTGGGTTATATCATCATTTCCTCTATATTTTAACCAATTGGAAGAATTTCTTGAATTAATTAATATGGTTGTTAAGTGAGGATATAAATGAGTTAAATCTGAAAATACATCAATTTGCCATTCTCCATAAGAATAACAATCTATAATCCGTAATTGTCTAATGAAATATCTATATCTTTTTAAGAAAGTTCTTTTCCCATCAATTTCGTCTATCAAATTACTCCAAGTTGTTTTTACTTTTGAAAATATCATTGATGCAAAATAAGTTCGAAATTCATGATCAAGCAGGGATAAATTGATAATATCAATTGGGGTTAGTTGATTCAAAATAAGATTCAAAATATCATGGGGGATCCTGACTAAGTTCAATTCGGGATTCTTCCTCTTGAACTTGTTATTGAACTCGTTGTCTTGGTGAATAATCGTTCGTTTCATTTTGTTGGCAAAGTTAATTGCTGCAAAAAATTGGTTGGTAAGGGGGAAAAAATATTTGGGGGATTACGTGGGGGATACCAGATGCACGTACGAAATGTTAAAAAAAAAATTGATTGAATGGTTTTGATAAACAAATTCTTTTAGCCACACACACACACACACTCACACACTTACTGTACTAGATAATAGGTGCAAACCAGCAAAGGAGAAGTAACAATGAAATGGTGGGAATTATTTATAATAATATTAAGGAATATACGAAATGACTTTCAAATAAATATTCTAAGTCGATTCCCACTTTTATTAATCCTAAACCCTGATGCCTTTGAACCTCCTTTCACTAATGGATTTGATGAGTTCTTCAATGTAACTACAACTACTACTTCAATAATCCACAATCAATATTCAAATATTGTAATTATGAATTATATGATTGTTGGGTTTTCAATATTATTAGCTTGGTTAGATATAATTTATAGTATTTTAAGATTAGCAATCTCAACTATAATTGTTGGAATGTTTATGGGATCGATGTTATTTTTTTCTATATGGTTTTATGTTACTGTTTCAAGAAGATGGAAAGTTATGATATTGGTGATTCAAAATAATGAATTCTTTGGGATATGGTAGGCGTAGTGGTATCTAAAGAAGGATGAAAGAGGATTATTTATGTTGTTTTTATACGCAGAGGCGGGTCTGATGCTATCGGTTATCTTTGCTTATTTTCTCGGTCAAGATTTCGGATTACCACACACAACAACGCACTCTGCCACACATACGCACACCAACCAAAAAAACAACAACCCTAGTAGTAGTACTAATAAGTAATTGTCGTCCGACTGACGACTAGGTCAGGCAAAAAAAAAAAAGAATGCGACAAATCAAAAAAATATTATGATCCTTTAGATTAAGTTCTTTTAAAGAACAATAATGTCAACTAAACAGACCCAAGACAGTCGACAGCGATGGTTAACTATTCGCAGTCCAATCTACTTATCCATTATTGTCACAGCAACAGTTTTATTAATCCGAAAATATGATTTGATTAACTACTACTTAACACAACCAACTTCGCCAGTGCTGGGAACTGATGGAAGAATTTTTACTGATTTTGAATTCGATCCACAAGAAAGATTTAATGTTGATGAAACTTTAAAATATAGCTGGATAATAGCTATTATATTTATTATTGCAATGAGCCTTTTATTAGGTATATAGAGAGCACCCCAATGATTCCTTTTTATGTTTGTTTGTTTTTTTTGGTCTTTCACGATATGATGAGTAATGAATTGTTAGTTTGGATTATATATTAGAGGTTTTAGAGAATCTTGTTTATAGAGGTAGTTTCTCTTTTTATGTCAAATAAATATTTCTAAAAGTATGTATCTATAAAATGAATCTCTCTAAAACATTGGATCCAGTGTATCCCAAACAATAGTAACCGGACCATCATTCACTAACGCAACATCCATCATAGCTCCAAATTCCCCATCTTTAACCTTTTCTTCTCCTAATCCTTTTGCCAATTCTTCCAAAAAGGCCCCATATAATTCTACTGCATGATGTCCCTTTGCAGCCTTATGAAAATCAGGCTTAGTACCTTTCTTAATGGTTCCATATAAGGTGAATTGACTTACAGAAAGAATTTCACCTTGAATATCAATCACGGATTTTGCCCAAGGTTTTCCATACCATTTTGTGGCGGTTTCTGGAGGTTGGGATAAATCTTCAAATACTCGAAGTGATAGGATTTTTTTGGAGAGTCGGTTTACATCTTCCATTGTATCTTTTGTGGAAATTCCAACTAGGATCATTAATCCTTTACCGATTCTTGAAAGACTTGTTGTTAGTAGATGAAGTTGGTTCGATAAGATATTAAGTTAATATTGTACATACGAGGATATTACTTTTTCTTCAACGGTTACTGAAGCACTTCTTACTTTCTGGATAACGACTCTCATTGTTTTATGTATAACCTGCTATGTCCTGAAAAGGAATCGTTGGTCTTGAGATCATGTTGAAGATTGTGAAAAAAAAAAAAATATTTAGATCTTCCAAAGCCCCTAAAAATAAATTTAATGCCCCGAAAGCCACAAAAATAATTCAGTTAACAGATTAATAGAGAGAAGAGTTAAATACAGAGTTCACAATTAGATTATTAACTTATTGTTCAATATACATAAATACAAAATCAAAGACATAGCTATCTCTCATCACTCAAGATAAAATAACAAAAATATTTGAACCCAGCAAAAATTTCTCTACCAACCGGTTCAATATATTTCGGAGGCAACAAAAACCCATGACTTCCACTATCCCTCAATTTCAATTGATAAGCCCAATAAGCCCGATTATGATACATATAATCCAACGCCGACCCCGCTCCCAAATCAGGCATCATATCGGCATCTTTATCAAGACAAGCCGGTAATACATTATAATTCACCCCCAGTTGGATTCTTATCGCTTTTGATATCCCATAGGCTAATTCAATCAAATTTTCTTCATCTCGAGGTTGTTGATTACATGAATATGCATAAGGATAGAGGACTTCTTGGGAATATGAATGTAAATCGATATATCCCCATATTTTATGATTTTCATTAGTGTTATTTAAATATTCTTCCCAAATTCTTGATTCGATGGCTTCAAAGGGGACTTCGCCACTATATTCTTCTCCACAGGCCCAATCGGTTGACCGGGTCCAATGGTAGTCATAAGAATGATCAATGTCGATTCCGAAACAACGAGGGTGGGTGGTTTCTTGACGGTTTTTCCGCCAAAGTCGGTCGGTTTTCCAAGTATATTCATATCCATCCGGGTTGGCATTGGGGATGAATAAGAAATCTAATTCTTTGAAGATTTTTGATGTGGGATTTATGGAATAGAATTGTAATAATTCATAGATGGAATATAATACTGATGAGACGGAGATCCATTCCCGGGCGTGGACTCCACCGGTTATGACAATGGTTCTTCTTTCTCCATGTTCGATGTCTTTATTGGGCACGGAGAAATGGACAACGTCATAACTTCTATGTTCATAAGTTTGACCAATTTGTTCAATTTGAATTATATCGGGGAATGATGATTGGATTAATTCTAACCAAGCATCGATTGTTTCCAAAGGACGATAATCTTTAAAGAATAATTCGGAAAAGATGTTTAATTTAGTTGCTTTGATGACATCTTCCGTGGATTGATATTGATATTTCGAATTCTTTATTGATGTTGCTGGTTTCTTGTAGTCTTGTGGGAATGTTTCATAGACTTTTTGTGCTAAATCCTTAATTATAATTTCATATTCAATCGTTGGGAATTTTTCAATTAATTTAACAAGATTCTCTTCATTAATTTGTATATCAATTTGATTTAAATGATTATTCCGAGCCCATTTATTGAAATTTATCTTGGTATCATTAATCGATTCATCTTTACTCTTTATAAAAAACTCTCGTAATTCTTTGTGATTGTTATAATTCACTCTAATTACATAATCATCTTTATATTTTAATAAATCTATTGGATAATCTTCTGGATTTAATGTTGAATAATGTAAATGACCATCAGCTAAATTATGATTAAGTAATGAATCTAAATTAAATGGAAATTGTAAACCAACTACAATATTTATTATAAATATTAATGGTATAATTACTTTTGATAACGAGTACATTATGTTAGTTTAATATACATATATGTGTTTTGTGATATTCGAATCAAATCTTCATTGACTTCTCCTTCTTATTCTTGTTCTAAGGGGAATAAGTAGTGTGATCCTTTTTAAAGTTGGTTTCGATGGACCGAAAAACTTTAAAAATGAAAATAAAATGAAGACAATAAAAAAAGGAGACACTTTTTCTGGCACGTGATATAGATTATTTTTTTAATCACCATTTACACGACCTTGAAATATAAACTGTAAAGAAATTAAAACTGTAAAAAGATTACCGGGAAAAAAAAAGATTTTATTTTGACTTCTGCTAATCAATTGCGACTCATTTTAAATTTGAAAAATTAATTTTCAATCCCTCACTTGACACACACTCCTTCCTTCTTCGAAGACATTAAAGACATACTTTGAAAGGTAATAATGCAACGTAGTAGTATTCGTGTGTTACGTCAATCAGCCGCTCTTCTCAGTAGAAGAATAGCAGCTTCTAGAACTATCACTACCAGAAATCTCGTGCTAATTCCAACCGCTTCCTATTCAACCAAAACCGTGCCATTCACAGCTGACACCTATTCCCATAAAATCCACCGTGATCCAAAATATAAACAATTAGAACCCCAAGATCTCGAATTCTTCAAAGGTATCGTCACAGAACAAGGCCTTATCACCAATGAAGATGATTTATTATTCTATAATGAAGATTGGATGAGAAAATATCGCGGACAATCGAAATTAGTCATAAAACCAAAAACCGTCTCCCAAGTTTCGGCAATCTTAAAATATTGTAATGAGAATAACTTAGCCGTGGTCCCGCAAGGTGGGAATACTGGACTTGTCGGAGGTTCAAATCCGATCTTTGATGAGATTATTATATGTATGTCGTCCATGAACAAGATTAGATCATTTGATTCCGTGAGTGGGATCCTTAAACTTGATGCTGGGGTCATATTGGAAAATGCCGATCAATTCTTGGCGAAGGAGGGATATATCTTCCCATTGGATTTAGGTGCCAAGGGGTCCTGTCATGTCGGGGGGATTGTTTCATGTAATGCCGGGGGATTGAGATTGTTGAGGTATGGTTCCTTACATGGGACCGTATTGGGTTTGGAAGCGGTCATGCCTGATGGGACTATTTATAATTCCATGAATGCTTTACGTAAAGATAACACTGGGTATGATTTAAAACAATTGTTTATTGGGTCTGAAGGGACTTTGGGGATAATTACTGGTGTTTCGATATTGTGTCCTTCTAGACCCCAAGCTCAAAATGTGGCATTTTTGGCGGTATCGTCTTATGAAGCGGTCCAGAAAGTGTTTGTGGAAGCGAGGAAGGAATTATCGGAAATCTTATCGGCATTTGAATTCATGGATGGAACTTGTCAAAAATTAACTGCGCAACATTTGAAATTAGATCATCCGATTGAAAGTGGAGAATATCCATTTTATATCTTGATTGAAACCTCAGGGTCTAATAAAGAACATGATGATGAGAAATTGGAAACTTTCTTGGGTGGAGCTATGGAGAATGGATTGGTTGATGATGGGATCATTGCTCAAGATGAAACTCAACTTCAATCACTTTGGACTTGGAGAGAATCTGTTCCTGAAGCAACTGCTGCCCTTGGTGGTGTTTACAAATATGATGTTTCAATCCCATTGGCTGATCTTTATGGATTAGTTGAAGCTGCTAATGAAAGATTGGCCGAAGCTGGTATTGCTAGTTTGGAAGATGAAACTAAACCCGTGGTTGCTGCTGTTGGATATGGACATGTTGGTGATGGGAATTTGCATTTGAATGTTAGTGTACGTGAATATTCTCGTGATATTGAAAATGTTTTAGAACCATTTGTTTATGAATGGATTCAAAGTAAACATGGATCGATTTCGGCTGAACATGGTTTAGGATTCCAAAAGAAGAATTATATTGGATATTCTAAATCTGATATTGAAATTAAGATGATTAAGGAAATTAAAAATCATTATGATCCAAATGGTATCATGAACCCTTACAAGTATGTATAAGCCTCTACATATAATTATATAAACTATGCACTTTAAAAACAATCATTTAATAAGACATTACAATAAACTAATTTATCTAACCTACAAACACCTCAACTACAAGTTTTCATTTCTAATAATTGAACCTTCTTCATATAATCCAGTTAAAGTATCCTTGAAATATTGAACACAAATAGGTCTTCTAATCTTCATAGTTGGAGTAATAACCCCTCTATCAAGAGTTAAAGGTTCAAAAGAAACATCAATATTATGAATCTTTTCAAACCCTTGTAATTGACCTTGAATAGCTTGATTCATATCTTGTAATAAAATCTTCTTATGTTTTGGATTTCTAAAGAATTCAACAATATCTTCCAATTTTTCAATCTTATCATTAAATCTTTGTAAAAGATAAGTACCAATAGTAACTGGATCTAATCCAACAATACCAACTAAATAAGTTTGTAATGAATCACCATGACAAAATAATTGTTGAATGAAAGGGAATTGGGATAAATAAGCATTTTCAATTCTTTCAGGAGTAACATATTCCCCTTGGGCCAATTTAAAGAAATTCTTTACCCTATCAATGATATATAATCGATTACCATAATTAGTATTGATACGGGCTACATCACCAGTATGGAACCAACCATCTTCATCAATTGCCTTGGCGGTTTCTTCTGGGTTTTTGTAATATTCTTTAAAGATTTGTGGACCTCTTAATAATAATTCCCCACGAGGACCACCTTCATCTTCACTAGTATAATTCATTTCTGGAATATCTCTTAATCTAACTTCGGTAGTCACACTAATAGCACCACATGATCCTGGATCTTTTTCGAATTTACTGGATGTACAAATCCCAGCAAATGATTCAGTTAATCCATAACCTTGACACATCCCGATATTCAAAGAAGCTTTCAAGAATTTGATAGTTTCAGGAGAAATTGGGGCAGAACCAGTACAGACATATTCAACAGCACCCATACCGATTTTTTTTCTTAACAATCCACATACACGATCAAATACTAAATGAGAAGGATTTTCGTGATCGATTTGAGATTGTAATTCTAATTTCTTATTGATTGCTTTAGTGAATAAATCTCTTAACCAAGGTTTTGCATCATTCTTAATGGTTTGAGCTTTAATTGCAGCTTCCAATTTCGTATAAACACGAGGAACTAAAGCCAAAAAAGTTGGTTGTAAAGCCTTAACATCATCTAAAAGAGTCAAAGGAGATGGACCTTGTGGGAATCCAATTTCAGCACCAATAGCAAGACCGAATTGAATAGTGGCTCTTTCATAAATATGAGCCAATGGTAAAAATGAATAAAATCTTGGATTTTTATTAACACGATTACTAGCATACATGAAAGTAACACCACAGACTGCATTTGCGTTAGTTAAAACAACCCCCTTTGGATGAGCACCACTAGTACCTGAAGTGAAAGAAATGGTGAAGACAGTATCTGGTTTTGGTGGAATTGGTGGTAATGGATTAATAGCACCTAATCTTTCAACTTGTTTCATATCGAATAAACTAATGTTATTTTCATGAGCGAATTCTTTTAATTCTTGATCAAAAACATCTAAATCATCCATTGAGACCAAAGTAATCAAATTAATTAAATCTTGAGGGTGGTTCTTTTTCAATTCAATTAATCCTTTAATTTTGTCCTTACCACAAACAACAATTGGAGATTCAGTTAAGTTTAAGATATATTTACTTGCATTGGGGCCTAAAGTATCATATAAAGCGGTGTTGGTAATGGAATAAGCAACGGAAGTTAAATCGGTTAAAGCCCATTCTGGACGATTATGAGAAAAGATACAAAGAACAAATGATTCACCATCTTTCTTATTTGGATTATAAAATAATTTCTTATGAGCTTCAGAATTAGTTCTATAAGGATTATTTTCTAATATGAAGAAAATACCGGAACCAAAGTTATTTCTTCTAGTTTGAGTTGTCTTGTAAGTTTCCCATTCATATTCACCAAATGTACCATCTGGGTTCTTCTTTCTTTTACCAAATGAATTTTTATGACCATGATTGGGGATAGTATTTTCAAATACTTCATATAATGTATTTAAAGAAGAATATGGAGTATCGATTAATCCATCTGGACATACAGCATTTCTATAGATTGAAGAATATCCTGGGTCTTGAGAATTTGGTACTTCAACTGCATCATGAATTTTAGATGGATCAACTGGTAATTGCAGATCAATAGTTTTTAAAATATGTTGAGGTGTTTCTTTAAATAAAGGTGCCATGGTGTGTTGGTGTTAGTGATATCTAAAAGGAAACTAATAGTAGTAGTAGCAGAAAGAGAGTGAAAGTGGAAGTAAGTAAAATATATTTAATATGAAGTCAAGATGATTAATATTTATACTTGAACGGAACGGAATGAATAAATAATTTATTACCCCTCGGTCAAAAATTTCCCACTGTANTAATATGAAGTCAAGATGATTAATATTTATACTTGAACGGAACGGAATGAATAAATAATTTATTACCCCTCGGTCAAAAATTTCCCACTGTAAAAAAAATTTATTTTTATTTTTCCATTAAAATTAATAAAGTGGAAATATTATTGCGATAAGTGCAGTAATTAATTTCACAAAGTTTAACTTTCAGTAAGTGCCGGTGTTTCACCGTACACGATCTGATAGATCTTGATGATATTTGCTATGACATTCCCTTATCCTGTGATGATTTTATTATGTGAAATATTTAATAACTCTATAGTTTTAGTTCTATCTTTTTATTATCGTGATTTAAAGTTTATTTTAAAGCGTGGGGCACATTCTTTATCTCTTTTGGTTAAGAACCGAGAAAGAAAGTATGGTTTACGGAAAAATGGATAAATAAAGGATTAAGTAATTGCATCTGTAAAATATTACTAACAAGGGATAAATATGGATAAATTTCTTTACTCGGTGTCTTAGAGAGAGATAGACAGAAACCCAGTGATTTCCATTATCTCCAGTACAAACTCCATATTAATTGCTCTTAGTAATCTTTGCGATGGAAAAAAAAATTTCATATGAAAATATTTCCGTTAAATTGATTTTGTGTAACAATTGCAAATAAATTCTTTTATGTGGGGGAGGATGTGGAGGAGTATGAGGATGAGATGGGATTTCAGAAATTTTGATCTCTGTCTATCTATTAAGTGGGGCAAACCAATATACGAATCCATTATGTGTATCTTCCCCTACTTCTATTGTTTGCTATCATCTTCGATCTTCCAGTTACAAATGTACGCGGTCTTAATGTTTTGCCATCAGTTAGAAATGGCCACATATCTGACAGCACTGATTATCCTCTGATAATTCGAGATTAAGTAAGATATTCACCGTTTTGTGTAAAGACTTCCCCATCCTGTCATTTGAAGATTTTGGATAGAAATGTGCCGAATTGAAAAAACTCTAATTAATAAACAAGCATTTTATGAAATTTTGCAATTATTTCTTGTGTTTGCATTTACCCCAGAATTTGCATGTGACAATTAAAGAAACGTTTCTTATAAAACGCAAATTTGGCACTTGGGAAGCAACTCTTTCTAAAAGAATGGTAAATCAACCTGATAGATCCTAGTAATGACCCTTAGCAGCTCACGTCTATTGCTAAGTAGTGTTGGTTTGAAGGGTGGCAAAAGGGATTTTACTTTCTGAAAGAGATCACTTTATATCCGCGGTAGTGATTTGTTGTACCAATTGCAGAATTTCATTTTGCATACTATACCTGATTGAGGAAATTTATCTAACTGAAGACTGGTTTCGGCTATCTAAGATCTAATCTATAACTCTTTCCGGAAGTCCTGTGGCAATTTGAAATTTATTTACATTAAATTCTCAGCATTGGAGAGGCTAGTATGGTCTCATACGGAATAAAATTCTGGGGGGGAAAGAACTTTTCATTGAAAGTTGTTAAACCTATACCTAATAGCTGTAAGTCAATGCTGACCGGTCTTGACTTCCATTTCCTTTTGAAAAGCTGGATATTAGGTTTGTAAAAGGTTGCAGCAACTTTTGGGCAACCAAGTGCAGAGGAAAAATTGGCTGCAAAATTTTGCCTTAACTAAAACAAAAAGTTGCAACAATTTTTATTAAACCTCTCATTCGAGATAAATAAATCTCTCTATACAATGAACATTACAGCCTATAAAATGTTTTTCTTCTAAAAGAAATAAGCCTGGTAGAATGTGACGACGGTGAGAATATAGGGACGTGTTCCAATGGATTGGAGTTTTGCGTAATTCTTCGAAATCCGCAAATTCCTTTCAATTAAAAATACGAGGTCGGGAAACAAGAGGGTCTAGTAATATATGGATTTTGAAAATATTCCATTTATTTATTTGTTTTTAGTAGTTCAAATGATATTCTACGATCCCGTCATCTTCAGAAGATGGAATGGGAAAATTCAGCCTACTTGAATAAAATTCTCAATAGGCATTACTTTTTCAGTTAATACATGACCATCAGTCAACCTTTGGATCTCCTCTTTATTTACAAAGAAGCTGGGTTTGCTTGGAGAGAATTCGAACCAAATTGAAAGCGTAGTTGTATTCAGATTTTTTTTTTCTTAAAAACATATATTTTTCTCTATAAAACTATGTAAGCGAAATATATACTCCTCCTTGATTAGGTCTAGAGGGAAGACTTTCTTGTCTTTAGGTGGTCCAAAAAAACCGTTATGGGTGTACTGTGCAATTGGCTATTCCATAGCCATATGTGAGAATCAAATATTGGTTGCAATTTGTTGTCAAATTGCTGCGAAAAATTAGAATTTTTTTTTTGATTCTTAAATTTTCATTTAAGAAACTATGTCCTTTTCTAAATGCCACAGTACATGCCATTAAATCTTCTCTATTCTAAATATACCTTATACAACCCATCGAGAAGCTTTCGAAAGTTGATTTGTTCATGATTGTATATGTAAAAAAAAGAATCTAATGTTTTGACCCTTGTTACAGCTCGCGATATTCTCATTCATTCCAAGGAAAAATTCAACACACAATATTTTTCAAAACAACTATGACAACCCTGCCTCAATTGTCTTTAAAATGAAAGCATACTCTTTAGTGATGGTATCATGAAAACGATAGGCTACGGATTCCGACCAATAAAGAGGAATCAATGGCAGAATTCAAGGGACAATAAACTCCAAACCGCTCATTTAATCTGAAATATTCTCATTGGGCTGTATTCTATGGCCCATCCCAAAAATATTTAACTAACTGAAAGGTTCTTTCAGATCCAGCAAGTAATGGTTATATCCCAATTTAATCATTTCGTGGTAGCGCCAAATTACATATGATATAAAAGTGAGCATCAATAAAATTTTATATGGCAAGCGCCGTGGCGCAGTGGAAGCGCGCAGGGCTCATAACCCTGATGTCCTCGGATCGAAACCGAGCGGCGCTATTTTTTTGCAATTTTTGATATTGGTTGGGAACTTGAATGGTCAAAGAATAATATAGAAGGTTGAGAGAAGGAATATGCATTATTTTGTGGTTGATAATTGTGTCTTGTTTTTGATTGATAATTTGGATGCAAAAGTTTTTTTGGCCATAATAATCATTTTTCTCGTGTGGTGTCCTTTTTCTTTGTTGCAACATATGGTTACGAAGTCTTTCTATTGTTTTATCATCAAAGGCTTATTCAGGTCCTAAGCTATACTCAGATAGTGTTATATCTTTGAGAAAGCTGGGATAATGAATGGAATTGGTGGTAATTAACCCTATCACCACCTAGCCTAGACGTGTCATAGGTATGACTCCTTGATTATTCTATATTCCTATCACTAGACAAATTCTTTCAGTACAATACTGGTTTGGAACTTTGATAACTAGACACGTATCATGTAGTTAGTATTAAAATGTTGTGTTGCAGCAATAATATCTAAGCTTTAACGTGTAATTGAAAGTACCTGCATATATCGTTTGTCATTACAATAATTTTTTTTTCTGACGTGTCTCCATCTTCAATTTCCCTTAATTAAAAAGAATCAAATAAAAAAAAGAATCCAAAACTTTGATTTCATAAACTTAATCACTTTCTTTTCATACACAACACATACATTACACACATATCTATATACAATGGTAAGTACTTCACATCTAGACGATATCTAATTGCGACATTCCCAGAGTACTAACACCTCTTTTAGGCAGTACAAACACCAAGACAAAGAGCAGCCAATGCCAAATTTGAGAATAAGAATGTTAAACAATGGGGTAAACCAAAGAAAGAAGATAACAAATGGGAATTCCCAGTTTCTAAGACATGGTTATTTGTTTTGTTGTTCTTAGTATGTGGTGGAGCCGTTTTAGAATTAATTAGATTGATATTTTAAAGATCCTTTTAGTTGAGTTTGTTGCTAGGTTCCCGCTAGCATTAGAGAAACGTCACATTTTATTCCCACCCCAACCCTGTCACATTTCCTCCTCGAGAGAGATTGCTTAAGAATTCTAATTGATTTAGAATACATGAGTTATTCTCTACCAACGCCTGCAATTTTTAAGTTGCAAGAATGTTTGACGTCATTGTATTATAACTTTTTAAAGTGATTTTTTTCGTGTTTTATTATTCATTACGTGTCCCGTTATTTTAGGTTGATTCTTAGTATATATAAACTTGTGCACATATATATAAATATATATTAATAAAGAAAAACAAGCAGTAGTAATATCTAATCTCTCTAGTTTAATTCAACATGACCCACCCTTTGATTCTCCTGATACCTGATCAGTTAATCGTTTCTATAGCTTGTTAAAATCATCATAGTTAACTTTTTCATCTTTCTTTCTTTTGGCTAAGAAAAAATAAAATAATCAATAGAAAAAACCCCTTAAAGCCCCTTAACGGTTTATACGCAAACCCTAATCTTTACAATCATCACTTTCTTCATCTTGATCAATATATAATTTCCCAAATGAAGGAAGATCACTTTCTTTCAATTTTAATACTTCTTTAGATTTTATTGAATTATAATTGGGTTGTTCATTTTCACTGAACTTAATAATTGTTTCCGGGATTTGATTTCCAAATTCATTTCCAAACGTTTCATAATCTTGTTCCAATAATGCGAATTCTATCCGATTATTGTTGATCAAATTTAGGAATGGTGAACAAGTTTGGATTTCAGCTTGTGATAATGGAGTGACTGATTTTGAACCCGGGGGTTGTTGGAACAAATCATAATCACCATTCATTTGTATATCCTCGTCCAAGAGTGGTACACAAGATGAAGAAACTGGACAATTGGGTAATTCAAAGCGATAGAAATGTTGTCCATTTAAAGGACTTATCAATTTCAAATAATTGTTGTTATCGATAATAGCCAATTGATTTAGATTTTCTTTTCTCAAGTCACTAGGAATTGCTGCAAATTGTTTTGCTTTAAACGATGATAATATCCAAGAATCCATAAATTTCCCCGGCGCCACCGCTGTTGTTTGTTTGGTTGTCTTCTTTCTAAAACTATTAGGATGATTATTATTAAGACTACCTGATAAATAGTTTATATTATACCAATGAACAGAACCAGTTGATTTTGTAATCACGCCAAAACCAGAATTACTTCCAAATATATCACCTTCATTTTGTTTTGAATCATAATTATTTACAAACCAAAATATTTCTTCTATAATTCCTGAAGTTTTCCCTCGGATGAATTTACCTATAACTTCAATTTCAACCGGTAATCGATATAAATCCCACATATATAAAGAATCCCCTCTTGCGTTTGCATGAACCAATTGTAAGTCATAAGGCGATAGGGAGACTTGAGAAACACCTCCTGGTGGTTTGAATGTTCCCATTACTTTATCATTTCCAAGGTCGAGAATACATAATATTTGATTATTATTTGGTTTTAAATTCTTAGTACTATTTTGTAAACTAGTTGCTGTGGTTGAAGCAGTTGAATATAATAATTTCCCAATTGATTTACTAATTGAATTAATTGATGCTGGTTCGACATTTTTATTAGATGAATTGGTGTTGTTTCCCATATAGGCTTTAAATTTTGCTGATGATACTTCTGATAATTTAAACAACCCATCTAATGCGGTATTAGATAGGGATGAAAATACTTTTGCTAATAATGGTTTTGACATTGGTAATTTCATAGGTGTGAACATTGAATTCTTCAATTTTGCTGTCTCCCCATTACTACTATAATTGGAAACAATTGGATCAAAACTAGATTGAGGGATCTCTTTTCGAGTAATCGAGCTATCATTACTTGCTTTTAGATGTCTATATTCAAATTTTGTAGGAGAATAAACAAGCCAATTATCAACGATATCAAATATCGGTACCAGATCCCCGTTAACGCTAGTTCGAAGCATTAATTCATTATCGGAAACTTTTCCTTGGAATGAAGGGTTTGATATTATGGGATTACACAGTCTTTTCCAAATATTTGCGAGTTTCATACCATCATTTGCCGGTATTATTTCCTTTGTCTCCTGATTAAATTCAAAAAGTGAGAGGAATCCTTGATTATTCCCTACACAAATAAACTTTGAGCTTGATTTGATTGTGAATTCTAGTGTATCTTGGTTGAATTTATTAAGCATACATGACAGATTAGCTTTTGACACACTATTATGTATGGTGAATGAATGAGACTGCAAAAAATAATCAATTCCATCAGTACATATTATGAGTACGTGATATTCATCCTGAGATTTCTGATATAGTTTAAAGACATTGATTTCTGTTGTGATTTCTAAATTGATATTAATTTGATTTTGTAAGAATAAAGTATCTCCATCACTTGAACAATCATTACTAGGTGACGACCAATCCCAAATTTCCAATTTTCGTTCATTAGGGAATAATATAAGTAATTCTCCGGAAGGACCATTTTCAATTATAGCCTCAACATCAATTTCTGTTGTTTCTTCATCTGAGTTACTGGCGGACCCATTGGTTCCATTTGATGGGGTTGATTGATAATTTGCAACACCTGAAGTTGCCGATTTAATTTTCTTCCATGTTGCCGAAGCTGTCCCCAATCGATGTCCTCGTTTAGGATTCGTATGACTATAGATGATATGTTAGTATTAGTTTTGTGGTTTGATCCATTTTTTGGTTTTATTTATATACATACAGTTTGTTTAATCTAACAGTATCGTTAATCAGGAGTTCTGTCATTTAGAGTCTGCAATAAATGATTGTAAACTCTTTTGTAAATTGTACGTGTACTTGGATAGATATTTATTTATGTCAAGTGATGTAGTGTGTGAATCAATAAAGATTTGCTACTAGCAACAAGTGTGTAATTGTGTGTATGTGTGTAATTTAAATTGCTGTGTAGAATGTGTCAATTGTAAAGATTTTCTTATCAATTTGGCTAAACCCTCAAAACAAAAAAATAAAGATTTACGTTATCTAACCGAGATTTTATATATAAATAAATATAATTAACAAAGGGATGTTTCAATATTTGAATTGTGAAAAACTCTTTAAATAAAATATAGGAGTGGAAGTTGTAAAGGTGACAATTTTTGTGAGGTAAGTACTGTTTGGTTCTTGGAAGATTAGTAAGTACTTGTAGGAGTATTTAAATATAATGGAGGGGCAATTTAAATGATAACCGCGTGGGTCAGTACGTGATGATCAACGTTCGAGACTCACTCTTACTAAAAAAAATAATTCTACAACTGTGGAAGAAAAAAGCAAGAACAATGAAAACATGACTGCACATAGCATAGCCCATTGTTCCTTTCTTTCCATACCTAACGTAATTCTTAACCAACTTATAGAATGAATGACTTGCTATAATGATGACACATATTTTTTGTTTAAACTTTTAACCGTGTTTGTTGATGTTTTGCCTCGAGAGAAGAAGTTTGCTTGTAAACCTCGCATGACTCGATTCGAAGTTTCCCCCCAAAGCAGCTTTGTTTTACCCCACAATTTGTTTTTGTTGTCAGTTGCGGTATCTCCAGAATTCCGAATTAGTCACAAGAATTATTCCATTTATTCCGACATACGAGGTTTCTTTATGAACCAATTGAGAAAACAGGAACTTTTTGGGATTCCCATGAAGCGACCCGGGAAAATCTGACAAAAAATTTATTCGAATAGTACGAAATATCAGAATAGAACAACACTGTTGTATCCTATGTTTGGCTATCTCCCTGCTCTTCGGTATATTCCCAACAAGTACTACCTGACACAAGTGACACTAGTAACATCAGCTCTTATATGGGAAAGGGATAGTATCATCCATGAAGAAGCACCAAGAAATTGGTTATTAACGCCAAGTCATACGAATTTCCATATGCATTTCGGAGTGATATTCAAACGGAAATAGACCTTACGATGTCAAGTATTGTCAGCAATGATTTATAGGACACAAGAATGAAGGGAATCCAGAGATATTTTTCTGGTAAGGCTTTCGTCGTTCTGTATTTTGCACCGGAAGAACTGTACTAGAACGGATCAACTAAAGTTTATTCGCACGGGAAAATTTGTTGGTGTGTACTGAAAAGTTTAGTTCTTCCGAGAAGTTCTCCCTGAATTCAATTGCTATCTAACAATGCTTCCAAAGAAATAACACAATATTAACAATCTATCGTCAAAAATCATTCAGATAAATTGACACTGACCTCCCCACCCCCCTTCAATAAAATAAGGTCCCCCCTGGAAGAGTCACTTTTACTTCATTGGCATCTATCGAACCTCAATACAATATAATATAGAACGATGTCCTTGCCATACAAAATGATGCTAGACTCTTTACCAGTAGAGGTTATAGAGAAAATACTTGAATATGTCAAATTAGAAGGATTGATCCAATTGATAGAACATAATCAATTCTTATCTCAGAATTTAAATATAAAGGCAGCCATGAATCAATTAATTTGCAACACGAATATTTCCTACAATAATAGAATTACTCAGCCATCATTCTTACATATGTATTGTCGAACTCCAACTTATATTGATAAGAACTCCTTACAATTCCTTCCTCGAATATCTTCCCTTTTTAATATAATTGACTATTGCATAGAAGAGCATCTTCAATCATCAATTACAATTAGTTTCTATATTTGGTTATTGAAAGATATTGATGAATTTTTACTGACCATTACCCTGATAAACAACAGTGTAGATTCAAAAATGCGTTTTAATATCGAAATTGAATTCAATCGTGGATTGTTATACAACTTAAGTTTAAATTATATCTTTGACGTTTTAGCAGATCATTTGGGTCAAGGGATTGAATCAATTACAGTCTATAACTATAGTGGAAGCTTCACATTTCATATTGCCCGTTTTCCAAAATTACGAAATATTTGGTTTGAAGATAGTAACGTTAAATTTGGACAAAGCTTTCAATTTGCCACTGATATGAAGACTTTGACAATACATCCAAATCTGTTTGGTTGGAATAATAATCATCCTGTATACTTGCATAAATCTGTGCCGCATTCTTTACAACGATTAAAGTTAGGTAGTTGTGTAATTAAAGAAAAGTCTATTAATTATGGAATTCCTCAAGATCTAGAATCACTCGATTTAACCAGAGTAGGTGATCGTACTGATTTTCAATATATCAGACCATTAATTGAACAAAATTTATCAAATAATCTAAAGGAATTGAGTGTTGATTATTTATGGGGAGCCGAAAGTCGTGTGATGGATTTGGATATAATATTATTTGATATACCAGAGAATTTCCAAAAAATGCAACAATTAAATAGATTTGCAATTATTGGATTGAATAGAAGTATTGATTTCTCATCATTCAAATTAACCGACCTTACAATCAAGGGTACTCAACACTCAAGAATCATAAATGAATGTCATTTTCCAATAACTTTGAAAAAATTAGATATTAGTAATAACCATCTAGCTGATTTATCTAACATTGATAAAAACCTACCTGAACTTTTAGAACATTTAAATATTGCCGATAATCCAATTGATTGGGATTTGTATATTCCAAAATTTGAAAAATTTAACAAGTTAAAGAATTTGAAATTATCGAATACTCACGTAAGATCACATTTGACAAAGATCATATTTCCCGATTCAATCGTGGAGTTATCTTTGGAAGTCAATCAAATATCTTCAATTGAAAATGTCCGTTTCCCTGAAAATCTTTCCAATTTGGGAATTGGTTCAAATTTGATTAAACATGTCCATCGACCAAGTTTTCCGCCGGGGTTAAAGACAGTTCATTTGACGGAAAATAAATTATCGGGTCCATTGGACCTATCGAAGAACAGTTCGGGAAAAGAATTGAATATCGAAATCCTTTATTTGAATTATACGTTATTATCAAACATTCAAGAGATTAATTTACCCAATAATTTAAGAATATTAAATTTTGATTATTGTATAATGAAAAATATATCAAATATCGAATTCCCAGCATCAATTCTTGAATTAAGTTTAAGTGCTTGTGAGATATCCACTATGAAGAACATTTCATGGGAATCAGGGTCAAGATTGAGATATATTTGTTTATCCCACAATGAACTATCGAAATTTGATATTAAATTCCCGCCATCGGTAGAAACGATTAATCTTGCCGGTAATAAGATTTCCACCGTTAATCCTAACGTATTCAATAATCTCGAAAATTTACAAACATTAATCCTTTCTTCGAATAAATTTGAAAGATTTGTTTATCAATTCAATTCAATCAGCTTACGAAGTCTAGATTTATCATTTAACAATATTAGGATCTTAAATGTTGCATTTCCAAAGAATTCAATTACCGAACTTCGAAGCATTAACTTATGTCTGAATAAATTGACGAATTTAACCCCTGTTATGATAGGACATGATAGAGACTTGACGTTTCATAATAAACTTATTGAAATTGATATTACAGATAATAGAATCAAGGCTGATGATATAGAGAAGACAGTAGGTGAATTTCCTTCCAGTCTAAAGTGTTTATTTGTGGGTTATACGGGAGAAAGAGATAGGTTTGGGTATGATATTGCTAGTAATATTATTGAAGGTAGATATTGCCCTACTAAAAGAGTTGATGTTCCAATTCATGAATAGTTATAAATAGATTAATTACATTTTCTGTTCTATAGCGACCGAAATTAGAAGTATTAATAGGACCCAATGAATTCTCTGTTGTTGTACTGTACATGAAATAGTAAACAAGACGGTAAAGAGCTTTAATCACTGGGCAACGCGATTTTGGGCATTCTGCTAAAGCCGAATGCCAAATATGACGTGTATCTACCAAGCAGACTGCATTGACACGCAGATGTTGCCAAATACAGGATGTCTTGTTGTAAATTTCTTTGAATCAACAGCTTCTCTTCGAAAGCATTACATTATCTCCGGGGAGACTGTGATTTGTCAGCAACATATGCTGTTCCATATTCAGATTGCAAATAAATTACTTCTTTTATTCTATCACACTATATACAAGTATTGACAGGCCAAAACTACTTAAAATCCTTGTTTTGTAAATTACGAGTCATAGCAGGTAAGGCAACTCTAATTCCATCCAATTCTTTAGTCATCTTAACTTGACAACCCAATCTTGAGGTTTCAGTTAAACCAAATGCTAAATCCAACATATCATTTTCATCATCATCAGGTTCCGGTATTTCATCATAAAATTCTGGATCAACAATAACATGACAAGTAGAACAAGCACAAGATCCTCCACAAGCACCTTCCATATCCAAATTATGAGCTTGGGCAATATCTAATATATTATCACCTTCTGCGACTTCATATGTAAACTGTTCTCCATCTTTGGTTATGAATGTTATATGAAGTTCTTCACCTGGTTTGGGTTTATGAATATGCCCATGAGCTCTGAAAGCTGTTTGGTGGAAATGGGAGACAAGTGTCTTTGATAAAGGGTTTGCTCGATGAGTCAAAGATTGAGAAATCATCAACTTCTTCGGAAACCTATTGGTAATTTGTATTAAATTCCTGAACATTCTTTACCCTGTCTATGATAATAACAATTCTATAAGCTAATCTAAAAAGTACCAACTGTCCTTTCGCTCTAGAAGACTTGTTGTTGCTCTTTTTTGACTCTTCTTTCAAGATGATGAAGAAATTCTTCACTAATTTTTTTTTTATTGCTTTTGTGCGCACGGCCCGGCCCTTTCCATTGTCCGAAGTCAGATTTCAACTTTTCAAATCTTGGAGTTTGTCCATCCCATTCTCCTTTGATTCTATAGTATCTGTTGTTGCTATGATAATAATATCCCTTGTTGAACTTTTGTTGACCATTTGGTTTGTTCTGGTATTTTGCTGATAATTTTGCTCCAATTTATAGTTCAACTGCTATGATCCAGCCAAGGGAATTATCATGGATTGAATGTGCTAACATCTTAGTACAACATTCAGACTTAGAAGGCGATGAAACTTATAACTTCAACAAATTCCTTCTTTATGAACCACAACCAGGTCAAACTGTGAACGATTATCTTAATCAAATGAGAATCTTGTTCATGTCAATTATGGATCACCATAATAAGATGGTTACATTGAAAGAGAAAGTTAAGGGAGCACTTCGTCGTGATTTCCCAGCGTTATTAGCACCTGAGAAAGAGAATCTCAGACGTTTATCAAGTCCTTCATTTTACTTTACTTATGTTTTCCAAGTGTTTGGACATTTAACTTTCCCGGGTGAACCAATCAATCAGTCACTGTTTGACATCCATGCTCTCCAACGTTATCCAACCAAAAGATATCCAAAGAGAGATCAGAGAGATAACTCACACAACAACCAACGGTATTACAAACAGAACCAAGGGTATTCCACAGATCAACATGGATATTCAAAGGGTAATAAGAAATCTCACTCATTCAAGAATCAGAAATACCAGAACAAACCAAATGGTCAACAAAAGTTCAACAAGGGATATTATTATCATAGCAACAACAGATACTATAGAATCAAAGGAGAATGGGATGGACAAACTCCAAGATTTGAAAAGGTGACTTACAGAAGAGAATCTGATGACGGCACAACTATCAACGTGATTGAAGTTTTTGAACCAGTAAATGAAGAAGAAGTCGATGGAAATACTGAATCAGAAGATGAAGGGGAAACTGGAATCAACATTATGGAGATTAATGATCGTTTTGAAGAAGTTGATTCGAGTGATGAAGAATCTTCGACGGACTCAGATGTCAATTATGATGTGTATGAGATGGGTACGAAGGCGAGGCATCGCAACGACCAATATTAATGACATGCCTTGTCCTATTTTACTAGATTCTGGTGCTGAGGCAAACTTTATCGATGAAGAATTATTATGGTTATATCCTGGATATAAGAAGTTTGCACTTAAGAAACCTATTATTGCCAAATCAGCGTTAAGAGGAACCCAGAAAGTTACATTTGCTGCTAAGATAAATTTACCAAAACCATTCAGATGCACATTGACATTTTATGTTTTACCGAATCTAGAGAAGATCATTATTGGAAAACCTACTTTGAGAAAATGGAAATACCAAACGACTGAAAACGGTGATCATTTAGACATCGAGGGACGTCTGTTTACGATTGCCAATCTTGAATTAGAAGAGAGTAACCTACATAAACTACGCAAGAATTTAGAATCTGATTTATTAGCCAATTTTCCACAGTTATTTGCTACTGAACCACGACCACCCAAAGAAAGAACATTCAAATATGATATCAGGACAACTGATGAAATACCTGTCTTATCTCCAGCTTATTTTGCTACTCCCGAAGAAAAGAAGTAAATACGTAAGATTAATAGAGGTACCGACAAAAGATCAGCCCTATGGGAACCTTGGGATTACCAACAACCCATACCGGTTTTACCACCACAACTACAAAAGTGATCGGATAATTATCAGTTGTAACTCTAGAAAGTATTGTAATTAGACTACAAAAAAAGAACTAAGAAACTACGAGAATATCAACAAATAGTCAAGGACACCGCCCTTCCTGCCAATCTCTCAAGAGAACTTGCTAGCAAGAACTAAAAAGATCAACAAGATCAATACTGCAATGATGGCATAACTTATAAACTTATTAGCGGTCAATCTTCTGCCCATAGACTTTAAAGTTTGGATCGATCTATCAACATAATTATCAGCTTGCAGAAGTGTATTTCTAGCTCCAGAAATCTGTTCTCTTTGTGATCGTAAGTCATTAAGAATATTACCACCAATAGCTTCCGTTTCCAATGCGATCCTTTGACTGTCTTGTAATCTTTGAGATGATCTGTCAAGGGATGAATTATTACTCAATAATTGTTTTCGTTGTTGGTCTTGTAAACTTCCTGGCTCGAATTCTTGATCGGAATATCTATTACCAAACAACTCATACTTATCCTGGGAATCTAACAATTGTTTATATCTATTCTTAGTTTCATCTATTTGTGATTTGTATTGGCGAATTTTGGAATTATATGAAGACCTTTGATTTGATGGAAGGTTTAGAACTTCTATGTTCATTTGGTCAAGCACTTCTAGGGCTTCATCAGAAGCAGCTTCAATTGCCCGTAAAGCGGTTTTCCTTTGTTCTATAAATACATGTTAGTATCCCAAATCTTAAACACAGCTCAATCAAGCAAAAAAAGCAAATGACATACCTGCGTCTTCAACAGATTTAATCTGTGAGATCTTTGTTTTGGCTTCTTGCAAAGCTAACTGAAACTCTGATTCATAAGTCTCAAATGATTCAGACATTAGGGATGTGTTGTTTGATTGATAGTAAGTAGACGGTTGGGTGGCAATGGATTCCTTTGTCTAAGTCGTACACGAGTTTTCCGAAAAAAGGAGGTGAGATTTGACTTGCACGTGAAAACGGTGATTGAAATCCGCAATTAACTACATTATTAATAATCAGAGAAGAATCTTTTTGTATTTTAAAGCTATTAATGCAAACAATTTAAATTCAAAGAAATATAGAAAAGATACTTCCTAAGGATGTCCAGAACCATAATGAGTTCTCGTCTCAAATTCATCTGCAACATCCTCCGAGTCATGTGTTTTAATCTTGTAATTTTCAAATGCTGACCTTATTTGATCCATGAAATCGTGTCCATGGTCATTCGAGTCAATAGAAGCAGCAGATTGGGTCTTGGTGATTTCATCAAGTTCATTCTTCAACTTCTCTGCATCAACAGGAACGCCCTTATCTAAATCAGCTAAATCTCTAACAGCAGCAGCTTGAACACTACCTTCATCTTCATTCAAATCAAGAGCATGCACAGTCAAATTCAATAATGATTTTCCAGATTTTCTCCTAACCAATTTATTACCCGGTGTTGGACTACCTGATTTGAGGAAGTATTGCATAACCTTGTCCTCGTCAATACAAGAAATATCTTCGGTATCGTGTATATAAACTGACGACTTTCTTCTTTTGATTGGGGTACGTGGAGTTCTTGGAATTTTAGTGGAAGAACCATTATCATGAATCCATTTCGAAACAATTGCCGTCCAACCACATTGATGCGATGCACCTAACCCTCTACCCGTGTCAGCATCAAAATATTCATAGAATGGAACATAGTCCTTAAAGTAAGGATCTTTATTGGCAAGATCATTGTCTCCATTACATGCACGATTACCATCTTCATCTCTAAGGAATAAATGAATCAAACGATGTTGGATTTCTTGAGCACATTGAGCTAAATTCAAAAAATCACCGGAACCTTTAGGACATTCAACTTTCAAGTCTGGACCATAATACAAATAGAATCTTTGTAATGCATCAACTAATAAAAAGTTGGTTGGGAACCAAATTGGACCTCTCCAATTAGAATTACCTCCAAACATACCAGAATCTGATTCTCCTGGTAAATATTCAACTTTAAACTTTTGGCCATTTACTTCCATTTCAAAAGGATGATCCTTATGATACTTAGATAATGATCTAATACCATATGGAGATAAGAATTCATCTTCATCCAACATCTTTTCCAAAATTGCCACTAATCTCTCTTTGGAAACCAAAGATAACAATAATCTTTCTCCTACACCTCTCGATTCCATTGATGCGATGTTTCTAGCTGCGATATCCTTTCTATGTTCAAGGAACCAATCTAAACGTTTCTTGAACGATGGGAATCTCTCCAATAATTCTGGTTCTAAGGTTAAAGAAGCATATAATGGAATCAAACCAACTAATGATCTAACTGGTAAGGATTGTGCATGGTCTTCCCCATAACGAATCTGATCATAGTAAAACTTGTCTTTATCATCCCAAAGTGAATTCTTGGTACAACCAGCATCATCTTGATCTGCACCTCTAAAAGTCATGGCATCAGCAATAAGAATAAAATGTTCAAAGAACTTGGATGCGATATTTTCATAAACCGGTCTAGTCTTTGCTAATTCCAATGCGATATTCAACATTTGTAATGCAAAGAATGCCATCCAACCGGTAGAATCAGCTTGTTCTAAACTACCTCCAGTAGGTAAATCTTCAGATCTATTAAATACACCAATATTATCTAACCCTAAGAACCCACCTTCAAAAACATTGTTTCCATTTGCATCCTTTCTATTAACCCACCAAGCAAAATTCATCATCAATTTTTGGAACACCCGTTCTAAGAAATCAGTATCTTCAATTCCATACATCTTTCTTTCAATCTTATAAATTCTATATGCAGACCAGGCATGAACAGGAGGATTGACATCGTTGAAATTCCATTCATATGCTGGTATTTGTCCATTCGGATGCATATACCACTCTCTCAATAATAAATCAATTTGATTTTTAGCAAACCAAGGGTCAATCATAGCAAATGGAATACAATGGAATGCTGAATCCCAAGCGGCGAAGAAAGGATATTCCCATTTATCCGGAAGAGACAAAATATCATCAATATACATATGACTCCATTCTTTATTTCTTCCATTAGCTCGATTAATAGGAGGTTTCACAGTATCAGGATCCCCAGTGGACCAATAATTATGAATAAAATAGTAGAATTGCTTGGTCCATAATAATCCAGCAAAAGCTTGTCTTTGGATTTGTCTCAATTCATCACTGATAGGCAATGGAGTAATCTTCCAATAAAATGCATCAGCTTCATTTTGACGTCTACTAAGAATTTGATCTAATTCGAATTCATCTACTTCGGTATTTTCTTTGGTTAATTTATAACGAATTGTTACATAATCATCAGGAGGAACCCCTCCATTTTGATTAAATTGGAACCAGGCACATGCTTTAGTACCGTTCTTAGCAGGATTAACGACATCTTTGACTCCATCGATAACATAATCGTGGAAAGCATCTTTCACGTATTTGTGTTTATTTGGTTGAGCATATAATCTTTTTGTATTTGTTTCATTTTCAGTGAATAAAAGGATAGGTTCGATATCTGGTGAATCTTCAGTACAACCTGGAGCTGGAGCGAAAGATAAATAACGTTTACCAAACCTCTGTTGTTCAATTTCAATTGTATATTCATTGAGTTGCTTTGCTGAAGGTTTTGGGATCTTGGTTGATTCATCAGTCCCCCATGCCCATGTATTTCTCAAGACTAAATGAGGTAAAATATGTAATGGAGCTGGTTCGTCACTTCTATTATAAGCAGTAATTCTGAAATATAAATCATCAGGTGAATCATCACCTTTGGCACATTCGAAGACAATATCAAAATATTTGTTATCTTTGAATATACCTGTATCTGTCAATTCATATTCACAATCTAATCTTGTTCTCTTGGCGTTTTCATCAACCAATTCCTCGTAAGGGAACTTTGTTTGAGGGTATTTATATAAGTACTTCATATAAGAGTGTGATGGAGTATTATCAAGGTAATAATACAATTCTTTAACATCTTCCCCATGATTACCTTGTCCGTTGGTAAGTCCGAATAATTTCTCTTTCAAGATCTCATCCTGTTCATTCCAAACAGCCATTGTCAAATTAATCAATTGTCTTCTATCTGAAACACCAGCTAAACCATCTTCACCCCAACGATAAGTTCTTGATTTTGAATGTTCAAATGGAAATGACAGCCAAGCATCACCGTCATGGGAATAATCTTCTCTAACAGTAGCCCATTGTCTTTCACCGACATAAGAACCCCATTGCCTGAATCGTATATTTTGTAATCTCTTCTCTTCGGCTGTTAGAGTAGACATTTTTGTTTTCTAAAAATCAATTGATTTGGTAAAGAGAGAAAGAAAGAAGAAGAAAGAAAGAAAGAAGTGAGTGATAAGAATTTTGGTGGAAAAGTGAATATTTTTTTAGACACACTGAAATTTACACCCAAATTTTTTTTTTTTGGTTTTTTGCGTTGCTGATTCGGATTTGATCAATCCCTCCATTTTGTTCAACAATTCTCTTGCCTCGCCTCGCCTTGGGAACTTTTGCGTAACAAATTAATCCTTCGATCACAGCAACCACAAAATTACAACGATGGGAAAAGAGTACAAAATCAATAAAATATAACTACATATAATTAATTCAGAGAACGTGTAATGTTTCCATGCCAAACTTCAGCCAGGCAAGATACGTTCAATAAAAGCATCGTGGCACGAAGCCATAAATAAGCGAGATGCAGAAAAACTGGAATGGCGAATGACATCGAGACTTTAATTCAAACTTCGACTTAGAAATGATTCTGTGTGAATGGCCAGCCCATGAAGGCGAATCATTTCAAGAGGTTGGGACGCTGTAGATAACACACATCTCTGAACTCTTATCGGAGTTGTTTCTGCGTGAGTGGCTGAGTTACATTATTTAACAACCAAAAAATAAAACAGTATGATTCTTGAAACAATGGTGAGAGCAACACTCAAGATTAAGTACGTCACCATAAATTCTACAAAACTTTAAAATAAATGTTCCCCTAACATTAAACTTCAATTGACAAATTGACTAGACAAATTGGCTATTGTCACTACTGGGTTGGTTGCTTGTTGATTGATTTTAGTGAGGAAAAGTGAATCCTTCCGGGCTATTTAAATTAATTTTTTGGCTGCAAAAATAATTGAAATATGACTTAATCTTGATAAGGCTCCCTTGGCAACATTCACATTCACTGTCCTTATTAATTAATGGAGATAATACTTTGAACTTGGAACAGATCATAGAAAAAAACACTTATCTCAAAATATTGTATTATAATAAACTCTATCAACACTACACGGTAACTATTAAGAAATAATACGTAAATATAATAAATAAACAAAATCTATTCTTCCAACTGTTTTTGTTGTTCTTCCATTGCTTGTTTCTGAGCTGCCAAT